AGAAGACTAGCCCCCTTCGACCGCTTAGTTTATATCGAGATGCCAGTTATACACTTATTGAATGTCAGTGGAGCTTAAAGTTATTTAATACAATTTATCGCAGTAGTTTTGTCAGGAAGATTGGTACATACGAGTTACAAAGCAATTTTGTGATTGGCGTAGAGAACTTGCACCATCCTCTTAGCCACTTAGGTCGAGTTTTCCAGCGCACAGTTTGCTTAACTTGAATTTGTTTCGAGTTATTTCAGGTCACTTCCGTTGTAATATTTTGTTTTCAGTGACCGTCGTGGTAACTTTGGTTTGGATGATTAATACATATCAATACTTCATTCATAGAAAAGTATATGACGCTAAGTGCTTTGAATGCGTCAAAGGTAAACACAGAAAGGACTTATATATATACAAAAAGTGCTTCTCAGCAATTGACGCATCATTTAATGACAGATATCGACATACGTAAATAATTATGTTTTTGAGATTGAATTCAATAATTTGTTCCAATACAAGTTACATCTTGTCTAGAATTAAATGGGACGATATTTGACATCGTAAAGCTATATTATTCAGCAGCCGTGGAACAGAGATCAAAATATAAACTAATTATATGGAACTCGTTAAAGATTTGAAATAAACACAGAGATCATCTCTTTCATCGGACTCGTGGTTTCACTTTCTATATTTTTTAGTTGGGGAATTCATGCGCCATAGTTTAGATGTGGTCTTGTATGAACGTGGCGAATATAATTTCCACCAAGTTTCTCGTATACGCAAAAGAAATGGTTGCAATGTCTTCTCTTTCAAACGAGCGACGAAGACCACTAAAAAAAAACTGTACTATGGACGAAGAGCAGTGTCTTTCGGCGTTTTTGAAAGCGAAACGACTGTTCCAAGATTTATATTAAACGTCTTGTATAATGACCCAACGGCCTCTCTTTTTGATAAAGGGTTTACAGAAAGAGTACTGCAGCTGAATGAGTTCTGTACTTTGAAGAACTACTTGTTGTAATCAACGATTTCGAATGAGCGCGGCCTTACTTGAAATGCGGTGCTCTTTTGGAAAGATCAAGTCACAGAGTAGCCTGCAAGTAGGCTCCAATTAGCGCAGCGGTACGAACGGTGAAGCTAAAGCGCGCGAAATTCGAGCGTGCGAAGGGTCTGGCATTTCGTGCCTGGACCCTCGCGTACATCTCGCGTATTCAAATCGCTCGCGGTGGTAAAACGCGCGGGCTTTGCCGCCCTTGTCGCAGCCCCAGTGAAAACCTGCTCCCAGGCTAGTTTTAAGGCGACACCAATCAAAGATGTTTGAATCCGGTCATGAAGAGGACAGTAATATACAATCTAGACGAGTATTAGATTTCTGTTTTCACCTTCCAGAGACTGGCTTCGTTGTCATCATATCGATCTCGAGTCTATTGAATCCGGTCATGAAGAGGACAGTAATATACAATCTAGACGAGTATTAGATTTCTGTTTACACCTTTCTACATATCGTCTTAAAAAAAAAAACCAAAAAAAACTTGAACCCAGAAAGATTACTGAATAGTACTGTGCCTTTTCTCCCCCTTATTTTCAAAATATGAAAAATTTGGAATTAGCACCCTCTGGAATAATCGCGGTATCCATAAGTCAGAAAGTATAACGAGTGTTGGAAATACATGTATCTCTGAAGTATATATGGCAATTCACGAAATTCCAACGGTGGATACCTTCACTGATCTAAAATGACCGATTGTCAATTTCAAATTTGTGGCCAGGGTAATTGACGGTTTCGTGTGCGCTTAGACACAGCAAATGGTGGAGCCACGTACAAACCAGCGGTGAAGCCACGAAAGGGCGCGTAAAAACCGCTAGATACGCAGGTTATAAATACTGCGGTAATCTTAAATCGCACAGGCTACGAGTAGTCCCGGCTCCTTTTCGGCGCAGTCCGTCGTGCTAGTCCAAAAGAAAAGTCAGCCGAAAAAGAACTGGTGTCAGTGCGCCACGCGGAACTTTTCGTGCACCGTACTCCCAGAGTTTTGAGCGGCGTGCTAACAGCAATTTTGTCTTTTGCTAAGTTTTTTTGACTGTCTCGATGGACCTCTCTGAAAGGGAGTGACTGCTCGTGGTCTAAAATTTGCATGACACCTTCAAAATCGACGGGTGGCCTTTAGTCAGTTTTTTGTTATCTGAAACGAGAAACAAACTGGATACAAAGCCTGATAGGAAGAAGTGCAAAAGTTCGGCAGAACGAAATTGATAAAAGGAGAGGAAGATCTCAGTTCATCTTCGACTGATAAAACCCAGACGGCCAGCGCTGATATTTTTTGGATCGCGATAAACGGGCAGTTTGTTGGAGAAGTCGTTCCCTTTACTCATGAAGTAATTGACAGAAGAGCGCATTCTGTGGTGGTTGACATCAATGAATCAAAATAAGTTACCACTTAAGACGGAAAATATCACCGAAAAATACACTTGATTCGGTCCGTTTTCGTGCCTTCACACGCTCGCTTCAGGCTTAGTTCAAAAATACTTCCCAGGCTCCTCGCGGTTGCTTACGGCTGGTTTACCCATTTAAAAGTCTGGGCTATGTAGTAATTCTTCTTCAAATTGTGAACGGTGTTAAAGCACACACGAGATCTGATCATGATACGGGCTCAGCTTTTATCCACAGATGTAAATAAATTGAAATTATTGATCAATTAGTTGTTATCAGTTACACCAAGTTATTATCTCGTTTAAGGGTGAAAGTTTCTAAACAAACTGTGGTGCGGCGTCGCTGGGGGTAACAAGGTAATTTGACTAAGTTGAAATTGTAAATTGGCCACCGTAAAGAGTTAAAAAAGCTGACGTTTCGAGCGTTAGCCCCTCGTCAGGGTGAATCGGTCGTGTGTGGGTTTATATGTTTTCATCTCGCGGACCAGAGTTCTCGCTTTACGTATTATGCACGATCCTCGCAGTAGATAGCGCTATTTAAGCAATAGCGAAAATCAGACCTGAAAAAAATCAGGCCTGTACGGGACTCGAACCACTGACCCCTGCGATACTAGTGCAGCGCTCTTACCAATTGAGCTAACAAGCCAACTGAGAGCAGGCCGTTAAGTTGATTCGTATTCTATCTCAGTTCTCGCTTTCTTAAGTATGCCGCTGAAACAGGGTAACGAGGACTCTAGAAACCAGATTGGCCGTACACAAGTTGGTAATTTGAAGTTGATTATAAGGATGTTTGCTCTAAAATCCCTAAAAACTGACGAAAAATAAAATTTTCCACTAAATCGAGGGCGTAATACATATTTAGTACGGCTAGTTCTAATTTTAAGTGCTCAGAGAAGTCATGGTCGTTTACAACGACAGTGTTAATACCAAAACCATCATATTGGGTAAATGAGTTTCCAAGGCGTCTTGATTCAATAAAATACCCGTATCTAAACTGCTCAGTTTAGATACCGTATTTTTGGAAATAAAATACAAATCTATTCTTTGTATTACTCCAGGCTAATTCATACTGTCATAAAAACAGCCGGATCCTAGCTTTCAACACGTGTGAGCTGTAGGACCACAAGAATATCTTCTGATATTTCATCCAATAACCTGACTATCTTGAAAGTGTTTCGTCCTGGATACGCAAAAAAATATACAAACAAAACACAATCTCGAGGAAATGTTTTCCAAAAATGTTCATTTATTCAATACCAACCCTTAAGTAGTTAATTAGTAGTTAGAATGAAAACGACGTTTCGAAAACATCGGAAATTAAGCAACTGGTTCTGGAAAGCTAAGTGAAACATTTTGAATAATTGCTGCTTGACCCAAATACTTAATTCTGAGAGACGAGTTTAGGTTCAAGTTCCTCTTTATTCTTAGAAAATCGTATCTCTTAATATCATTACAAGATGATTTACGCTCATTTTAAATATTGCAACTTGCAGTGTTTACAGACATTTGTAGTTTCCCTAACATGGTTGTTCGATATCAGGATTGCCGTCGAAATTAAAGCAGCAATCTAGACTTAAAGTGATGCTTCCTTCCGGATTTACAAAGAAGCATTTTTGACGTTTGGTTTGTATTACTTCATGGACCCAAGTAAACACTTGCAAATATTATTTCAAATGGTAACATTTATTCCTCTACGTATTTCAGTTTCATTACGAAGCTGTTATCGAAGATAGATCCATAGCAACGAAACGACTATCTAAGTTGGACGGAGCTGAGAAGAGAGTCTTTTGCACGTTCAGTTCTAGTTCAAAGTGAATTTCAACTCCATTGAGAGGCAATCAGAGTTGTTACCACACTTTCCATTTGCGTGAAAATTTTTGAGACTAAAAAAATCTAACTAGCAGCGAAGAGTAAAGTCATCAACAAAAAGATATTTGATTAAAATGACTTTGGATAATAATTCCCGAAGCATGACTCATTTCAAGGCCTTTGATATGGAAGCTCATTAGAAAGGGGAACCATTAAAGAGGAGGGGCTGATTACAAAACCAATCAGAGCCTAAGTTCGAATTATTAAGGCCTTAATTGAAATAGTGACCATTGCGTGTGTAACAAAAGACAAAGGATATTTTTAGTGTACAGTAAGTATTTCTGAAGTTGTGAAGCCAACATTATGTAAAACGGAAAACAACACAGGCTTTTAAAAATGACTCTACTGCAATACCGCCTCGCGGCTAGCTCAACTGGTTAGAGTCTTAAAATAACTGAGGAGAATGCGCTACCTTTATTTAATAAGAAATAGATAGACATTTTAGTCTTCTCGGATAAGGACGAATAAACCGTAGGTCCCGTCTCCTGCATCTCTTAATTAGTTAATTTGGTTAGGCAGGGGACATTGAAGAACCCACTCACGAGATTACTGTGATGTGGTCTGGCCTGTTTACTGGGAATTGGGGGGAGGGGGCATCTTTCAATAAGTTTCCTTCGATTGTTTGTAAACTGCTGATGCAGTCCGGCCAAAGTCCCCCGAAAAGTGTTGTGATGCGCATTTGATCATATCCGCATGTTAATTTGCGCTATATAAATATTAAATTATTATTATTATTATTATTATTATTATTAATATCATCTTGCCCAAATAAATAGCAGAACTACTACAAAATATTGCTATTATGTTATTGTTCTTTTGCCCTGTTTTTACTTTGGAGCTTTGGCTTGGGGAAGGAGCTATCTGAGAGAAGGAACTTTAATCGACCGTTTTTGGTTTAGGAAACTCAGTTACGCAAAAGAACAAGTACGCCTTCTAACCCCGTAACCAGGAACTGAATTGAAATGTAAACAGAAACGATCGGGCCGACTCAGATGAATATTTTATGAAACTCCGACAAAAATATACTAAGTGATTTTCATATCGAAATTCAATTGTTTGTTCGTCTATGAGGCCTATTGTCTGGTAACCTTCCTTGGGATTCTGGAAAATACTTTTAAAAGGAAATTAAAATTCTTTATCTTTTGTCAAGATCGACTCCATGCTTGTGGCAAAGAACACGCAATTCTGTCGTGAAACTCACGCATCATAATTAAGCACGTCGAACCACAATTGGAGATTTTCAAACCACATTCAGTATTTTCCCAGCTTATAATCCTAAATTAATTAAATTTTCAAGGCAAGTTTTTATCGTAAAAGGTTTACCGAGAGGAGAGTTTGTTTTTCTGAGCAGGAAATTGATACCAGTTGTACCGGCTTTCGACTCTAGAACGCCAAAGCGAAGGATTGAGTCACGGCTATTTTCGTTTCAAAGAAATTGAAAGTTCGTTTTACCATAGTTAGCGAAAAAAGACTTGATTATCTGGAAAGATCAATATTTGCTTATATCAGGTGGATAATCTGTTTAATACCGCTTTAATCCTCCGCTGTTTCCAAAACTGTTAACGCTCAGGAAATTTTACGTTAATTTCCATGTTAGGGATGCACGCCGAGAACAAAAGAACTTTGAGTGATTACGTCAAAAATATACGCCTTTTTCCTGAAGTTGAAAATTCTAAGTTTGTGAAAACAAAAACGGAGATACGTAAGCGACAAATCGCTTCTTAGAGGGGACACTTGACACCAAAATAGGAATGATATTGACTTGCGAATTTGAATAATGCTGAGGTCATTGTTAGAGAAATTAACGAGAGGTTATTTGTAAACGACTCCAGTCGTCACACTGTTCCAGTCAGCTGAATCAAATTGAGCTGTTTTGCATCACAAAGGATACGAAACGGATCGAGACAATAAGGGAATAACTGAAACGTAGGTTGGGAGGAGAAGAAATTCACAAAAGTTTTGTTCAAGGCTTGAAAAAAACACAAAGTGATCTTACTTTACAGTATCGAGGAGGAGAGAGTCGTTTTAATCGGCCATCGTTCATCGATGAACTGTAATTGTTACGTGAAGTGGGTCGTTAGATTCTAAAATAAGGTTTGAGAATTTGCATAGAATTCCACGAGGTCAAGAACCCAATAATATGCCATCAGCAGAGCCTGAAACAGCGACGAAAGCAAAAGCTAGAGCGGAACCCTGGCCAGGGATGTCTGCTCCTCCAAACCCTGAACCTCTTCCCGACTGGGATGTTGCGCTGAAAGATTGGAAATCTCTATGGGAACTTCACTACATCGGATTTGGAGTGCTGTTCTTCGGCGTGGCTGTTTTCTCTTGTATTTGCGTTGTAAAAATCAAACACAGAGCCAAAGGTATGACTTTGGGAAATTACTTTCTTGCCGTTTGTGTGATGTTAATGACGTTTTGTGTCTCAAGAACACTGTACCTGTTCCTCGACCCGTACGAATCGCACACGATCTTGGATCTTCCTGTGTTGTTAAGCAGAATTCTCTTTGCCATTGGGTATCCTTGCTTAACATCAGCGTTATCCTTGATACACTTCGCTTTCCTCGAGGTAAACAAACTTCGACTGATTTCACGTCGTCTTCAAAATATCAAGTTTCTGGTTTCGGTGATTGCGACGCATTTTGTGGTAGTGTTAATCGTGTATTTAGTAATAACACTGGCACCGAAGCTCGCCCGTTTGCTAATTTTATGCCAAACGGTGTTAATTTCCTGGTGGTTGATCCTGGCGGTGTGCTTCTTGTACAGTGGTTGGAAAGTGAACTGGGAATCGCAAATCACAGCCAAGTTCTTCAACAATACAATGGCGAAGGAACGAATCGCTTCGACGCTCTCTACTTCCTCGCTCAACCCAAGCTCTAATATCACAGTCGAACAGGCAAAAACTTTTAACAACGATCAAAACAAACCCTCGAAAGGGGCGCAAAAAATCGCTCGAATTTCTGGCCTCGTTTCGATTCTCGCGCTGCTAAACGTCGGTGCAGAACTTTATTCGCTTTTCTCGTTGTACAAACTCTACGATTTCGCGGAAGGAGAGAGTGTTGTCGATCACTGGCCATGGTGGGGTTACCAAACAGTGAGCCGCATGCTAGATTTTTTGCTATGTTTGGTAATTGCCTATGTTATTTTCCCTTCGACTCAAACTGAGAAAACTCTCAAACATTCCGCGTCTTACGGAGTGGACAGTCACTCGAATCGTATGAACAAGAATGTGTCGAAATCGTCTGACGGGATAGATGCGGTGTGAAAACACGAAAATGGAACGGAAATAAAAGAGAAACGATTTGTTCGCTTCGCTGCAAACGTGAACCGGATGTGAAAAACTTCGCAAAGGAGATTTCAAGCAAAAGAAGATCAGCCAATGAAGTTTACGTGCGAAAATGAAACTTAACAAAGATCATCAGTGGTTTACTGTACGTCACCAAAAACATGACCCGGAAATCGGATAACATGAGAAATACGTGAAGAACACAGGTTGGACATCCGTTTGCAATGGACTAAGCGGCGTGCAGGCAAACAGGACTAATCACCAGCTTTACTTGATAAACACGAACTCACGAAATGAAGGCGTTTCGAATCAAGAAATTGAAATTTGCATGTTTTTTATCAATAATTCAAGACAGTTTTTAGCTTGCGCAATGACGTTTTAAACATATGTTAAATCGAACTGACAGATGAACATGACAACAAATCAAAACAAAACATTTTAGTTTACCTTTTAAGAGAAAACTAACATTTTTTAAAGGTTACAATTGTCACGAAAGATCCTAAAGGCATTTAGCGGCTCACTTTGCAAGTTCAATGTTTGTGGGAAAAGTCCTTTTATATCAACATACATGTTTATTAATTGTAAGTTCGCTAAGTTACCTCTAAAGGCAGCAAAAAAGACTCGGTTTCGTTAAATACAATGAAATAATTGAAGAGAAAAACTGCGTAGTTTTTTGTATGGAAATGGAGAGAGTTGGAAGTTAAAGGCTCATTTGTGAACTCATGTAAGGAGAGTAAAATCACCACACCAATTCAATCAATTCTTCATGTTTTATTTCTCAAACAATTTCTGAATGCTATGCATAATTTCTGTCATTAACTTCGTCATTTAAGTTAATAAATAAGCCAGCAATTTGGCAAATGCTGGAAATAATATCTTTGCTAGTAATGAAGGGGAATTAAGCACAAAAATAATCCAACGCATGCTTCTTTTTCTGGGGGTTTGTGAAGGAAACTTACAAAAGAGGAACAGCGAAGTACTACAAAAGCTAAAAGATAAAACCGCTGAAAACAAACTGGCAATTTTGGACTTGCGTTGAATAACAGAAAATAAATTGATGACATCTTTACATACTCAACTGTCCAATAAAAAATATTCAATGTTACACAACGCACCGATCCATCACGCGACGCGGCTGCAACTGAATGACAACCTTTCATGTCGAGGTTGCACGAAATCAAACAAGCAAATCGAACTGAAACGTTCACAAAGAAGTGGTTGTCCACGAAAACGAGAATTGTTCTCCTTAAAAAGCAATTTTAGAGAATCTTTTCTCCACCATGCTGCCGATATCTAATACAAAGTAATAAATTTGTCTTTTTTTACGCATTTCTAGCCCCAACGACCTCTTACTAGTCGAATGGGAGCAAATCTACACTTTACAAATTGTTTTAAAAAGGTTTCATAAATTTTCATCAAAAAATAACCTTTTCTTTTAGATACAAGATCGCTCAAAATATATAACAGCTGTACAACTTGAAAATGTGCACAATTTCTTCGATAACGTTTTTACAAAGGTGACGAAACAGAGGGCTAACTTTCTATCCGTGAGAAAAACTCTTGAAACTGCAAAAACAAAGAAAAAAAAACATTAAAACTTTTCTTCGGAAACAGACTACAAAAGCATAGAGTTCAAGAAAGTTACTGAAATTTCATTTTCTAAATGATGGTTAAGTGTTCTTTTGTTTCCGATTGTTCCTCACCTAAATGCTATACAGTCGTGCTGTTCCTGACGTTTTTGCTCATAGGTAAGGGCGTTAGGTCGTGCTGAGGAGGAAAGAAAATCAAAGAAGATGTAAACAGCAATTCTCTCCATTAGCTATAGTACAATTCCTCGCAAACAGTTGAGAAAAAGTAGTGTTATAGCAATCCAAAACCATCTGGCTGACATGTTTCCCTCTACTCAACAATTGCTCCTAAGAAATTTAGGGACATTGCGAGCATTAGCCTGTTAGCGTCCATATTCTCCTTACAATTGGAGATACATTTCCTAAGGTGCCGACAAGAAGAATTTGTTGAACAATCAAGAGCTTCTTTAGTTGGTGATCAGTTCCTTTATTCTCCTGACCTTAATGTGGGATTCAGAGGTGATATTATAAGGAGAAAGTAGATGCCCAGTCAAAGGGTTAAATATTAGAACAAAAAAACGTTACAACCAACAGCAACATTAATTTTCAACATACTCCACCACTCGGTTATTTCAATTGGCGATAAATCTCTATCTTCTCTTTACAACTGTGATACATTCTCAACCAAAACGGTAAAGAGAAATGAGAAGCGAATCAATCTCTCCTGTAATACTGAGTTCTTTTACCTGATTTCTTCTCCTCGCGTTGAAGGCCGCTAATCGTGAGGTGTTGAGTTTAACCTGTCTGACTGGGCTAGGGGGCCTGGGACTAATCATCTGTGAAGTGCAACGTAAAAACACTTAATGCCGAAAGATCTGACAAATTCTGTGTATAAAGAAGGCACATCTGCTGCACAAACGAAAAAAAAAACACGAAGCCCGAGGCATGTAGGCAAAAACTTCGAAGCATGACAAAACTTGGAAACTATTTGCAAAAGGTGAGAAGAGCGAGAAGTGTTTGGAAAGGCGGCGAATGTTTCTGACTGTTGAATGGTTCATGAAAATCGGGTGGCAGTGGTAAACGTGGTAAAATTCACACCGCGCGCAGGGGGGGGGGGGAGGAGGAAGGGAGCGTAATAAGTGAATTCTAGTAGGGATCAACAACCCTTCTGGAATCAGTACCATGCGCAGGAACACGTACAACTAGTGGTAAACGTGAGAAATTTGGCGAAAGGAGATGCAAAGAGCGTGAAATAATCTCAACAACTGTGGCAAAGAAAACTTTATCTTACCTTAATCCACTGAGAATTCAAACAATTTTGACAGTCGGCTCTTTTTCTAAACGTGAATAAAGCAAAAAAAAAAAACAAAACAAAAAAAAAACAAAAAGGTTCAGAATATGGATGGGAACAAAAGGGAACTAGGATCAAAATCAAAATCACATTAAGAATTTAAGCCGCTCAAATCTTTTTATTTTGAGAAAGGACATCAACGGCGACAGTTTCGGAAGACTTCGGTCTCTCCGACAGTTTCCGACCTACCGATGAGGTTTCTGACGTGCGCCATCAGTTCATTTCATTACTATACCATTTTAATGAGAACTAATATGTGAAATTAAGGAGTAAATTTCAAAGAATAGCTCTGAATGCTGCTTTTTCACTTACTTCGGATTTTTAACGAGCAACGAGGAGATGAAATCCTTTCCTTGCTGAGAAATTGGTTCAAAATGCTTCGGATTGAATTCGTATTTAACCTCTGTGATGTTACGACACGTTTCTTCCACTGATTCTTCATGAAACGGTGAAACTCCGCTCAGTCTGCAAAGCAGGGGGATAAAATCACGTTCAGTGTGTCATTTCAAACCAAACAAGCTATCAGTGAACATTCTGCGGGGTGAGGCGTTAAAAATCGCTTCTCGATCTAGGCACTACTGAGAACTGAAGGTACACTCAAGCAAACTGTCTGGATGGCGGGAAAACGCGTGTGACCAAATCACGATTGCTGAAAGTTGATTGGTTGAGAGAATAGCGAGTTTTCTTAACCAAAAACAGCAACGCCGATGCAGCAACAACAACAACAAAAAATAAATAAATAAATAAAAAAAAGATTTTGGACGAGGGAGAAAAACCGAAAATGCAGTTATCTTGAGAAAAAATCTCGGAGCAAAGAAGAAAACCAGACCACAGAAATAGTTTATGATTACCCCAACCCTACTGCCCTATATATTAGTTTAGCGCTCAGTTATTTACACTTTCATAATAATGAATTACAGTGATACTTACATAATGTATGTTATAACTCCTATGCTCCTGTGGTCAAAGGAAAGAAATATTTTCGTTAACAACACAAACGACCCAGAAAAGTTCAGAACAAAAAGTTGACTGCAAAAGTCTGTAGCTTTACACGTACCATGCATCCGTTGTGAAGTCTACGGGTTGTCTGTTAACTAATTCTGGAGCTGAAGAACGAAAATATAATCACTATTTTGCGAATGAAAGGGGCTGTAAATTATAAGTCTGAGAAAAAAAAAACCTGTGTTGTGGTAGTTCAAATAAATGCTACCGAGCAATACTGTCAAGTGATTCTGTTCATCACACTGCAAAATTGGTTTTAATTTTTAAGTCTGTCGATTAATCCCAATGAGTTCAAGCTACAAAGCATTAAAATCATGCGAAACTGCTAATTACACTGTACAAATTGCTTCTAACTTTTGAGTCTGCGGATCAGATCTTAGTGTGTAACCACTCATATGAAAACTACTGAGTATTATGGCATAACTAAAGTAACGCGCGCGTTCTGATTGGGTGTACGCTGCAGACGTGAGCAATGGCAAAGATTAGTTTCGGCGCGATTGTTTTTTTTGGTCGCATAAGATTTCTGTGTCAAATAAAAGGAAACTCTTTTGCTAAAATGAATCAAGAAGCTAGAGTCACTCTCGGCTATCGCCTCGCGCGACTCTTACGCTTCTTTCGTGCTTAGCAACCTCCCAAGTGCGTCCCTAACTTAATAGTGTACAATGTGGTGTTTACCATTTGTTCAATATTTTCATGTAGTACTGTTCATTATGCTGTCCAGGATGGATCAAATCTTTAAGCGACTGCATGAAATTGATGTTCTTCATAAACGTGCAGATCTAAATGGACACATACCTGAACACTCAGGGTTTCCAAACACTTGTTTAACTACAGATTCTGAGTCGGATATCTCCGTTGCACAACCAAAATCGATAATTTTTACTTTAGGTAACGGCCCTCCATCAAGGAGAAGATTTTGCGGCTAAAGGGAATAAAAGAAGAATATCAGAATGTGGAGAAGAAACAAAAAGATTGCAAATTACCACTGAAGCAATACTTCGTTGGACACAAGTCACGCAATGATCACGACTTGCGAGACACTTCTTACGTCATAGCCTCACCTTCAAGTCGAGGTGCACGATTGAAAGATCTCTAAGATGTTGAACTCCTTCGAGTATTTCCCTCACGTGACCTATAGCAACTTTCTCCGTCAAATTGTCCATAACGACCAGATGATCGAATAACCGACCACCAGTAAGAAGTTCAATAATTACTACAAAGTTCTTTGTCGTATCAAAAGCGTCGATATATCCGCTTAAATTTGGATGTTTGAGTCTTCGAAGGAGATAAATCTCGTCTTCTACTTCCTCTTTGCCGACCATTCGTTTCTTGATCAGTTTAGCGGCGTATTCCTGCCCTGTTGCTTTTTCTACGCTTTTCTTGACAACAGAAAAACGGCCCCTGAAAAAGGTGCAACCCATTCATCAGAATATGGAAAGTTGACTGCCAGTGATGGGGGAAATCATTAGAGTACCACAGAAACACCCAAGGGGGAGGGGAGGGGGGAAAATCCGGAAAATTTTGCGACACAACCAAATCATCCGACCCCGACCCCCCCCCCCCCCTTATCAAACGATTGGGAATTTCTTCGTTATATGAAATTGCTATGACCGCTCCATGAAGAGGCAAGAAAATAATTCCAAACTCTGCGGCTGATTAGGGCGTTAAAGAACTGGGAAGTGAAATGTAAATGACGGATTGACACAAGAGTGCAGGAGAGAAAAACAAGAGCTTGGAAATAACTCGTTATTCACCGAGCTTCTGTTTGAAGATATCTCCAACTCACCTTCCAAGCTCGGCGTAAATGTTATAATGATCTTCAATATCTTTTTTCCAAACAATGGGATCACTTCGCGAGTTGGAGCGTACTTTTCTCTTGTTTTTCTTCTTTTTTTCATCGTCTGAGAACAAGAAACAAACAGTTCTTTATGTGCAGTGCGTAAAAGGTACAGAGGTGAATACAATTTCAAAGAACTGAAAAAGGGCGCGAAATATTCTGCACTCTATCTTCTACCTAGCGCTTCTCTTTTCTCACGCACGCACATGCTCGCACATCTCCTTCCTCGAGCGTTACCGTCCTCGCGCGCCAAACTCCTCTTACACTTGACTTCTTCTAAAAGCGTCTCGACCTTTGTGCGGGTCCTTTCTCATGAATATCCACCTCTGCGCGTCACCTTCTCCAACAAACTCCATTCTCGCCCATCTTCTTGTACACGACACTTATTCCTCGCGCGTCTCCTCTAAACAGCATCTAGACCCACGCGCGTCTCCTTTCACAATGACGCATATCTTGTCCGCTCTCACACCAGTTGGGCAAGGAATGATAATTAACCAGTCTTTACATTTTCATTGTAGGTTATTCACTTTTAAATACTTTATTATTTCGTTCAGTTCAATCTTATTCAAAAGGCTGTTAATTGTTTTACGACAACGTTTTTCGCAATAAAGTGAAGCCGAGCAATGGCTGAAAAAGGACAACTCATTCATCGTTAAACATTTCAGTCGGTTTTTATTTCTAATTTGCAGCTACTCAAATTATTAAGCACAATTAAATTGATTTAAACATCATTCAATATAACCGTGTTGCCCTAATAGCTCATAGGTTAAATTAGCCTACGAACGAGCCCTCACTCTAGGCGCTTCGGAACTAACGTTTCTTCGCCCGCAGAAAAGTGCGAGGCCTGGGGCAACGTGAGCCTACGAGAAGTCTGGCAAGGGGTTTATTCTCCAATCCTCCCACAGGCGAAGAAACGCGCGTCCTGCAGCGCTAAAAATGAGGGTCCAATGTAACCCTTTAACTCCCATAATCTGATTGTCAATTCTCGCCTCTAGTTGCTCCACATTTCGTTGTACATAAGTCTCAAGAATTTGGCGTTAAATCAAGACTTCCCAAGTCTATCTGATAAATTTGAATATTCTCATTACATGTTGGTTGGATAATGCATGGATGATATAGGGAGAAGTTACATGTGAATCACTTCTGGGAGTTAAAGGGCTAAATGATAGAATAAAACACTTCAGACCCGGCCTAGAAGAGCAGATCCATGTCCACTTGACAAGTACATTGCAATTCAGTCAATAAATTAAAATAAATAATTATCAATATAAAATCCTCGCCAAGCAGAACACAGATAACTCATTCTAGAACGGAGCTCAATTTTCTTACTATTTTCTTTTTATCATCGAATGTTTATTCATAGTGCCGAGGGAAATTTACCCTCTCGAGTCATGAACAATACGAGTCGTTATCGAACACGCTGTTTCAAATTTTAAGGTTCATTTAAGTTAATGGATTAAGAGGGAAATTACTACATTTAGGCAGACATCATTAAAGCAGAGTCGATTTGATTTAATTATCTGAGGTTAAAATACCCAAAAGAAATTTGATAATTTAATAAAATTACGAGCTTAAAGGCATCTTAAGTTCGTTTTCAAAACTTACAAGAAATGTAAAGAAAAAGGCTTTTTTAAAATCGCACGTGCAAGCCTCATCACGTGGGAAAAAACTGATTCATTAATTGGCTTAGCGATTGGTTGACCGACAAAAACAGGCCGTAAACTCACAAGTTTCGGCAAACTTCGTGGTATCAAACTATCTGACCACAAAGCTAACAGTATGCCTGTAACTATTCTTGGCTGCTTTGTTTAAAACGCTGTTTATTTCAAGTAACTTTCCTGGAGAAAGTCGAAGTGACAGATCTTATATCTGAATGACAAGTTGTGCCCGCACGACCTGTCATTCAACAAGGATTGTGATTGGCCCGATTACTCAGTGACAACACGTGATTAACAGCTGACCAGCAGATCACGTGAAGAACATGCGTTTAAGCGTTATTCCCAGGAGGCAACAGTTACATTTTGGCAGCTATCCACAAAACTCGTGCTCTAATACTACAACCCACGGTTAGGGTGAACATTTAAATTTTCAACTACCTAACAAGTAATCATTTATTCTATTAAAGCGTACGTCCTAAGGAACTTTTACATGTGTTTCAATAATAGAACAATTTTAAGTACAAATTAGTTTTATTTTACAACGTTTGTCAATTGTTTTAGGGTTGGAAATAATTGGAAGATCTCTAAAGTGGCTTGAATAGTTTAATTCTTTGAAGTACGAAGATAGCTGATGTTCATTTAGCTGGATGTTTAAGAAGATTCCTCTGTAAAAAGCAACACAACTCAGATTAGATATAAAATTGAATATATTTTTTTACTATTTAGCAGTGAGATACTTCCAGTAAGTAGAAATTGCCACATAGTAAACTATTGCAAACTTCTTTGAGTTTCTTTTGGTTTACTAGAAGGAGAGATTTTAAGAGTGTCTTCGCTATTTGAAGAAACCACCAACAGTGCACGACAACTTTTTTGATAGTATAGTGACGATTTTCTTTGCACTACCACCGTAACAATAACCTCACGCTCGCATATTACTTGCACCTGCAGAAACACTTACCGCTTTCGACGTCCAGTGTTATGGAATCCGAGATAGGACTGGGTCGACTGATACCAATCTCGCTATTAGCACTGACTCGGAACTGGTACGTGGCGCCCGGCGTAAGATCATCTATTAACGTGCTGTTTCCCGCCACAAATGGTACCGCCGCCTGCCACACACTCACCCCAGTCTCCTTATACTCCACCGTGTACGCGGTGATTGGTTTACCTCCGTCCAGCTTGGGTGGTTCCCAGTGCAACACGAGTGATGACGAGGTCATTTCTCTGACGCAAGGTTTCGAGGGAGGTTCGGGAACACCTTAATGATGCAACAAGCGAAGTAAGCCTCAAAATAACAACAGTGACACATGAAAATGAATTCTGATGGGTGGTCTGACATGTTAGGATTTTCGGGTCGGAAAAACTCGCCATCGGTCGGCACATTTCTGTCACCGAAAATTCAGCGAGGCCACGATTGTCGCTACAAGATACTGTATGCTACTTGAAGGAAACCTGACACACCGAAAGGTTTCCCAAAGTTTGCAATACTCTGGTGTTAAGTTCAGTTCGAAGTACTTGTGTAGCAAAAGAGTTATGAAACAACGCAAGTAAGAAGCATATACCCTAGTGATTTATCCTGCGATAGCCCTGAGATTTTATTGTTGATTGTCCAAGTAATCCCCTTCCCCTTTGCTACTGTAAGTCGTGGGACATAATTCACACCAAATCTATTTGATTATAGCTTGAGTTTGATGTTTTTGTGATCAACAACCAACACTCTTCTAATGAAGATGGAGGTGAAACTGACGGTGAGATCCGGACACAATCGTGGGAGGACGACATTGACTCGAGAGGGATAAAAAAATCACACAATAAAGATCGAAATGCATTCGTCAAAGCTAGAAACTTATTCGTCGGAGATCGAAATTCAATCGTCAAAGGTCAGTATTTACACGAGAACGATGGTTTAATCAAATTTTTTCTCTTCAACGTTATTTCTGCTTCTCGCTCTTAGTCCTAACCCAAACATTTTGGTGCGATTTACGCCACGTGACATTCAGCAGCAAGGGGTACCTGCTTTTGACAGCTTTTTCTTTTACCTAACACGGCAACGTAAGCTGAGCACGTGATGCGGCGTGACCCGCACCTGACAGAACACCTGTAGTGACCTGTATCGGCAGTCTCCGTTGGCGTGATGTCCAACGCATGCGTGACTCCGTCGTTAACTAGCCTGATATTGTCGTAATTTTCTACGGCATGCTGGTTCTTAGTCCAGGTCACCGTGAGGGGGTGGGTGGGGAGCGATGATAATTTGCACTGAAGCCGTAAATGGTGGCCGCTTTTAACAGTGACGTCACGAAGAACTTCGATGAAAGCTGACGGCGTGAAAGTAAGTACGTTGTGCATTGTTAATCGGGTTAGCAACGGAAAAAATTACAATAAAATAAAACGTTAGGAATTAGTTTTACTAAATGAGCATTACATTACCATTGCCAGCTCTTTGCTTTATCTAATTCAACGACAACTTAGGCGGAAAACAGTGCAATGCGCCTACTGTTGCCGAGCGCGTTCTTTATACAAGCAATAAACTCTACCCCTCCACGAAAACTAAATAGAGAAAACTACAACAATGCTCCGAAGGAGCGATTTGGCCGCCGATTGCTTTCCCAAAGTTTTCGTCAAAACCTCGAAGGCAAGAGATCACTTTCACACATTTTGACTCCGGTCAAGCTTTGGAGTTATTCAACATAAATTCAAAGCTGAAACATAAATTTAAAAAAACGTTCTTTGTGACGGCTAACTAGCAAACCATAGCCATGTAAGTGGGTTTAGCGACATCTCTCCTTTTCATAAAAATAATTTAATGTGACTACCTACGTGGTCAACATGCCCACGAAAGGACAGACAGATATAGCAAAATAATTTGTACAGCTGACCATGGTGCAACACGCGCACTGTAATATTTCTCAGTGCTTTTATACGCCTAAAACTTACTTATCAATTTGTGCAACTAGGTGCTTTTTTGTTGCAAGTTAAGTTTTGGTGACTTAAGTTACAGACCTTAAATCTTCTTTCCCAATTTAACTTTAACTTAAACTGTAGCTTTAAGTCTTAAATTTCCTTGTGATAAAGACAAAGAGTTGACAGAGGTGAAGTGACAAACGTTAACTGTTGTTATAGATTATCTTCGGCATGCAATGTGGTTTGTGATTCGTGCAGATCTTGCTCAACTAAAATAAAAATGAAAAACAAAAAAAACTCTTTAAGTGAGTTGTGAACGAAGCACGTAAAAATTTTTTTTTAAAAAGCTAATAGCATTTTGGTAAATACGTGAGCAGTGAACGCACTTATAATGAACAACTCTGAATCAAGACCACAGTCATAATTAGAGTGAAATAATAACTTGATACGTACTGATTTCGGAGTTTCCTTTTTGATTCTGGAAGAGAGAGAGAGAGAAAAAAAATTCATCAGTTTTGATCACCGATGTCCAGGGTGTGGGGGACCCGCCGGTCGAATGGTCAGTGCGCTGACCCGGTTCGGGAGGTCTGGGTCCTAAACCTGACTGCGTCATTGTGTTGTGTTTTTGAGGCAAAAAAACTTTTCTCTCACAGTGTCGGGTGCCAGCAAAATGTAATGGAAACCTTATGGAATGCTGGGAAGGGATAACCTGGCATCCCATCTACGGGGGAGTAGTAATTCTCTTTGTCGCTTCAAGGAAACCGGGATTCTCTCCGACTAAGCGGGCCACTTGACTTGATTGCAGAATTAACCTTACTGTCCAATCAAAGAAAACTATGTGAAATAAACACTTGATAATTTGAAAAAATAGTTACTAACCGATGAGGTGACAGGAATGTCTTCGGTATCATTGTCATTTTCTGTGCTCAATTCTGTTCGGTATTTATCTATATTCTGTTTTATCTTGTTGGAGAAGGCATTCAAATAAGAGTCCTTCTGTTTCTTTTGTGTCCGTCTATCTTTATTATCACTCCTGTAAAAACACAAATAAACTTTTAGCCCCCCCTTTTTTTTTTTCCACGTGGAAACGTTTCTCCAGTCAAGCCATCTTCTCCGTCAATCGTTCTCGGTCGTTACGGAGTGTCACGCCCTGAAAACCATTCCGTGACAAGTCGAAGATACTTCATTGGAAAATGTTTGAGAAATTTTGCTGTTTGAGGTTTTACGCTCTGTTAACTTCAACTCAAACGATCGCAATGCAAATTCTCCTTACTCTATATCGTACATTTCTCACAATGCTAATTATAACATAACCAAAGTAAAGCGCGCGCTCTGATTGGTCAATTTAGCGTCCCCCATTTGCCCATGGGTGTACGCTGCTGACGTGAGCAAATACAAAGACTATTTTTCCGCGCGCGCTTGTTTTTTCTGGTCACGTAAGATTTGTTAAGTAAAAGGAAACTCTTTAGCTACAATGTATCAATGTTATGTTATAAAAAAAATGGTAAACACCACAGCGTACGCTATTGAGTTATGGATGCCCTTGAGAGGTTTGCTAAGCACTCAAGAAGCTAGAGTCGCTCTCGGCTATCGCCTCGAGCGACTCTTGCGCTTCTTCCATGCTTAGCAACCTCCCGCGTGCATCCATAACTCAATAGTGTACGCTGTGGTGTTTACCATTTGCTAATTGTGAGAATATGGTGCAGCATCAATCAATATCCCTCGTTGATTAATACCTTTAATGTCATCACCTGTCTACTTCATAATATACAAGTTAGAGGTGGAGAAATTACTTGATGGTCATAAGGGTTGTAATAATCACAGGGTTATCGGTCAGAAATTAAGGAATACACGTACGCGTAAATTCTTTATGTAAAATTGGATAGACGTATGGATGCTAAATGTTAATTCAAGCGCGTTAGGATTATTAGTAAAGCAAGAAACCACAGGAGTCCCTTCAGATAATTCTTGGTTCCTTAACCGAGCTAAAAACTTTACCATCTTTGTAATTCTATATACTCTTACAATACTTTCGACATGGCTAATCCTAGCGTGACACATTTGAGCCTTACAATGACCTAACTCACCAGACTTCGCTGTTACTCAGTGGTGGAGTAGCGGAGTGTGTTGCACAATCGCGAAATTTCTCGTAAATTCTGAAAATACTCAACCTTTATGTTAAGGTAGTGCCGTAGGGCGTTTAGTTTTCAGTCTTTTTGTTTCGGTGAGCCATGTAGCCAATCAGATGGAAGAAAGATTAGCTTGCCCTTTCAGACTAATCAGGCAAGATTGTTCACCTCGTCATTGCACTGAACACACGCTTACGCGCGCTTTTATCAGGTTTTCCCGCCTTTACAACCGACTACCTATGATGCTTTCCCGCGCTTTTCACACTCGTCAATTTTGATTGGTCTAATTCAGTTTCCTTATGTTTCAAAGTTGTATGTACAAAACTTGACTTGATCTTAGGACTCCCGTGGTCTCAGGTTAATGCTGATTAGTGCAGAGAAACACATTTTACACACACACACACATGCCACCACACACTTACGTATTAAAGCTCCGATGACGTGTAATAGACGGTAGAATCTTCTCTTTACTCTTTTTAGCCATTCTGGTTGAAAACAACAAGCCACAGTTATTCGTGTACTGTGGCATCATGTTCCCCAAATGTTTCGACATTTTCATACCTTAATTACGCAGAGTGATTACAGTAGAAAAACCTGACCACGACTTCTTTCTAAAGTCCTTCCTTGGCCCGAATCCCAAAACGAGGTAAACCGTTTCAACAAGACGACATTAGCTTAGGATACGAAACGAGGCTGACCTCTTTCCCAGGATGAGGGTCTGACAGACTTAGAATCAAATATTTCACTTCTCATTACGAATAACTACTGTCTACGCGGATTAAGTTCACTGGTTACGTAAGATTAGCGTTATCAAAGCATTAGTGCGTACAATAAATCCATACGACTGGCATGCATATGAATCCAACCTCTTAGCATCTAGTTAAGCTGCAATCATTTTAAGCAAAAACCCAGCACCGTGCAAAACTTATGCAGCAAAAGGCAGAGTAGAGCTTGACCACCACCCGTTCCCATTTTCCGCGCGGCCGCCTATTTCTATAATTGCGCGCTGATGAAAATCTTCAAGGTACAGTGGGTGTGAGTCGAAACAGTTTATCATTAGTTGTAAGCGTAGCTCTTCTTCGAGAAGAGATTCTTTCTGCATCTAGCTTAGAGTTAGGACCATGAACATAAAGTTTTAAAACATTAGAACTATGTTATAGGAGCGCCGAACACGGGCCGCTCAAGCGACCGAACGGTCGTAGCTTGGAGCGCCGACTAGGTACCCTTTCTTGGACGATCACTTATCGACTGATTCTAACGATTTACTGTCGATCGCCGAAATCGCAATCTGTTTGTCACCAAAACAAATTTCAGATATAAAATACCCATCTCTTTGTACGATTACAAAATAAATAAAACCATCCACAAAAGAGTTTTCAAACCTGATCAAACAAAAATAAATAATCAACACAAAAATAACACAAATAGCGAGAACTTACGTAAAACTCTCATGCCTTGAAACCTTTTTCCTTGAAAATGTTCTGAACACGAACCACAATAACGAAAGTCAAGAACTCACAATGACACGTGACTGAGAAAATTACAACAGAAAACTCGCTGCTGAAAATTTGATACCTCAAAAGGCCACACAAAAACTTTAAGGGCTGTAACAAAAAGGTTCTTACCCGGCCGTTTTCTTGGGAGACATCGGAGTATCTGAATCTAGAACCGAAAGTAAAAAAAATCTGACTTGAAAAAAAATTCATTTTCGCTATCAGCTTTGTTTTAAAAGAGTACTACAAATAGAAGGATCCTCTTGTGTGGTCTCCACACGTAATTCCAAAGTGAGCCTGGATTTCCAAGAGACTTTAGTGACCAAACTACAGTTGCTATGAGTTTCCAACAATCAGAGTATATTATATCGCCTGTTCCCATTCCCCCAAAACAAATTTATGACGGAAGTCACGATGTCAAGAAGATATCAAGCAGAAAGGCAAAGAGAAGAAAGACAAACAACGAGTAGGGAACATTACTGAATTCAACTCTAAAATCTCAGATAAATTATGACAAGAATTTGCGTTGAAAGACAAGAACAAACCTTCGAAGTTGTTGTTGGCTTCTTTTCTTAAGATCTTGGCGGGCACAAGTCCGAGTTTGTCTTCGGTGAAATTACAAACATACCGCCAGTTCTTGTCGTGTTTCTTGTTCGACACCAAGTACACAACTTCTCCTTTCTTCACAGAAAGATGATCTTTATCTTTGGACTTGAAATCCTCCAGTACCACGAAACGTTCTTTGTTACGCTGCAAATGGCAAAAGTTCCAACATTAGTCACGCGGTATCTGTGACAATCACGCAGTACCTGTGACAGTCGCACGTCAAGTAACACTAATAATTTCGTTGCTGTTTAACAACAACACATTTTTGCGGTTCAAGATCTTTCTATTTCCTCGAGAAACTACGTTCTGCGACTCTCTGTCTGAGCAGCAGAACATTGACGAGATTAAGGAAATATTTTCACATTTTTGACTAGCAGGAAGAACGGTGGAACGGGACTTTGCGGAAGAGATGAAGAACGTTTCTGCTCACCGAAGTATTTGAGAAAGGCGACGTCAGGTCCTCCAGAGATTGAGCAGTTTCCAAAGCGATGAGATTCATGTGCTTAAGACGACTGGGTTGACTAGAAGGGACTGGTATCTAGAGAACAACGATAAATACGCGTCTATCTCTTTCGCTTACGAAATATGGAGCAAAGATGCAGCTTTATTCACAACAGTTTCAGCGCGTTTTTTCCTTACCTGTGACGCTTTCTTTAGCGAGCCAGCGTTAGGAAGGCTTAGACTGTGTCCGCGAGTTGCGAAGGTAGTCAGCGGTAGAGTAGTACTGCTTGATGGGGTCACCTGACCCTGAGTCGTAACGGGGCCCCCAGGAGTCAATGCGGGAGGACTAAGAAGAGAAAGGCACGTGTGAATCAGGTAAGTGACTTTTTCTTTCTATTTCGAAATGTCACATCTTACTTACATGCCGTTGGCCTGTTGTTTCTGATATTCAATTGGTCTTTCTAAAGCTGTGAAAAGAATCAAGAAAACAACCAGTGATGAGTAACAGTAGCCGAGGGAAGAAATGTTGGATCACTTTTTAACAATTTTAATTTACGTAAGAAGGAACATTTTACTTTATATTCGAAGAAATTTACAATAGGGGACAGTGAAATGCCAGTTAACGAAAGAATGTCACCATTGAAAGAATCTTTTTGCTAAAAGTTTAAAAAGTAATTTTCTCATTATATTGGATCATAACAATTTAACGGGACTTTCAGTAATTTCTTTTCCGTCAAATTACATCCAACCCGTACAGTTATTTGAAAGAATACCAGATATACCATAAAAAAATTAGCTTAGCGTGATTGAAGGGTTACTGAAAGTTTATGTTTAAAGTCTATACAAGTTCACCTTTCAAAGGCATTAAGTCTGACTAACTTAATTTAGAAATTCAACGATTAGTAAGTTATATAATCACATCTCTTTTATTTTAAATTTAATTTAAAAGTTTAAAGTTTCTTTTCAAACCTCTGTGTCCTTGGTTTAAAAATTGCCCCACTTCAGGCGATTCTGCGTTGAACAGTTAAATCAAAGTTAAAAACAAAGTTAACAAAAATCTCGGGGCAAAAATGCAGCAGAACTACATCGGACCATGATTATACACTATCTGTATCTTTTCTCCTCGCAAATTTTGAAAACAATTCCTCAAGGCTAAATTGGAAATTTCACCGGTTCCATTGCCAGATAAAAAAAATTTAATATATATTGCCTTAGCCCACTTTTCTTAAGTCAGATTTCCAGACAAATGCAGAGAATGCAAAAAAAAAAAAACCAAAACAAAAACAAACACTTGCTGAACATTAACTGGGTTTTGATTTTGCCTGTATCTTCTTCAAGAAAAAAGTTTATTAGACGTGAAAACTGAGCAAAATCAAATGTAGCGGTTTTACGATTACAATCAATTAAACTTTACCATCTCCGAAGAACATAGAGAGGAAAGATCTAACAAAAGCGTTTAATTTCGGGGATCATCTCATCTTGTTAACAATCCCGAGAACCTTACCTATAGCAAAAGCACGTTGAGATTCGCGCATCTTCTGCAGAGCTTGTAACCAGTCCTTCTTCTTCTCGGCCGAGCTCGCAGTCATGGTGAAGATTTCCGCGTCGGGGTCTGAGCCGGTCCAAATAGCGAACGACAACTGATCATCCCCCACCCCTTCCATATAATTCATGTGATTCACCTGTAATGGTGTAACGCGAGTGATTCATCAATAACAGTTCCTGGCCAGAGAAACTTGGCTAATTTTGCCACACAGGTAAGTGCAAATTTACTGAATCTATTATTACGTAGGACACGTGTCGCATGTTGAGACGAGTTTATGGCCCACCTCACCTTAGAGTCCTCTGTGACTCAGTTGGCAGAGAATTTCACTGATAAACAACATAAGAGTGTATTATAACAGTCCACAAGATGTCTCTCTCATAGGGCATTATTCTTCAGGGATTCAGCGTCAAAAAAAGGCAAAACACCTGGGACACGCCCTCGATCAGAGGAGAAAGTCTCAAGAGGAAAGCGACCGAAACACAGCTACGACCTGGCGTTTTCACTTTTCCTATCTCCACTTGGCCGCGGAGGGTCTTACACAAGCTAAAAAAGATTCTATATCTCTGAACATTGATATATTACCTTGATGCTGTGTCTGTAAATGTACACTGTCCAATCCAGCTTCCTCTCAAATGGTTCACTGAAGATCATGAGCTGCTCAAACAAAAACACTTGCCGCTTACATGGTTTGCGAGTCTCCGGGTCTGACACCATTAGTGTGTCCTGGAAAAGAAGAAGAATTTAAAACTTAGCTACTGGAGAGGACAGGGAGGGTAAACAGCAAAGTGATACAAAGGGGAGGGGAGGAATGGGAAGAGAATTTTATTTGGAGGAAATGAGATAGAAAAAGTGAGAATTCTTTGAGAGTTAGTCACCTGCATGATCAATGTTCCTTGAGCTGTTATCTTACCCTGAAAAAAAAAAAAAAAAAGAAAGAAACGAATTAAATCGTGTCAAGACGAAACGTATCGAGGAACATCATTAAGGTAATGCAATTTTGAAAACAAATGTGTGTTGGTGTGATATATATATATATATTTTTTTTTTACCGTGTATCCCTCCAGCATTCCAACGTTCATCATATCATTGGCTTTCTTAGGTACAACGTACATCATGTCCAGAGCTTTCTATAAACATAAATAACAAACCACAACATCACTAAGCCGCATGGGTAATGACACCGTCCAAAAAGGAGAGAGGAAAAATTCACAAAGAGCCATTCGGACAAAGTAAAAACAAGCGAACTGCCCGAAGCGTCGGAAAACACGGGTGACCTAGTTACGACTGGTTTTAGTTTTGCATCTGATTGGTTGAGAAAATAGCAAAAAATTCTTAGACCAATCAAAGCGGAGTCTATGCAATTCCTTTACTAAGAGAAGGAGTGGGACCCACCTTGAGTTCTGTAGTGTCCAGTCCCGCTTTGCCTGTGTATTTGACAAAGTCTTTGAGGAGGAGCTGGTACTTCATGATTCGTTGAACCGGTTTAATTAGGTAATCCTCGATACCAAGTCGGTAGCCAAGACGCTCGACGACTTCCTAAATAATCAGTTAAAATAGGAGCAGTTTAATAAAACTGTAATCGACTTCTGCTTTCTCATCACAGCTAGAAGAGCTGCGAAAATTTCAGACCTCACCAACTTGTGATGAATAAAAATATTAACAGCAACTCACCCCAAAATATGTTTCACGGAACTCGTGGACAAGATTCATAGACTTGGGTTTATTTTGACAGTAGAAGATGTAATTCTTGAGGTACCGTTCCTTAAAGAATTACAACAGTACATCAATTAAAATACACCACAATTCACGAAAAGAGGACAAGAAAATATGTCGTGTAAATTAGTGTTTAGATTGTCTTCAAATGGAGGGGAACTTACAGATGTCAGGAAGCAAGAGGCCAGCTTCTCGGGCGCATCTTCGCATTTCTCCAGTTCTTTTAAGAATTTGCTGCGGAGAGAATCGAAAAATGTTACATCGATTGGAATCCTTCATAGACTGTTTGCTATGTATTCTGCTTAAATATAATCCGTTCCTTCGTTCGCAAGCACCCGGATTCGTTTCTTCGCGCGCTCGTTCGATAGTCCCGCTCGCACACTCGGCCGTTTCTTCGTTGGCCTTTCGAAATGAAATCACTCGTTCACATTTGGTGACCGACTCATTCTTTACCTAGTACGTTCGAGCGATTGTTGATTGATACTTACCTCTTGTGCCACTCGTAAATTTGTTGTATGTTGCCAAATAACACTCTCGTCTTTCCCTTCAGTTCTTCGGGTGTCTCTGGCTTCGCAAGTTCAACGATGAAACCCTGCGAAAGCGATTTAAAAAATGTCACCATCGAGATTCCAGACGGTGTATCAGACACCACTGAATTCTGTTGAACTTGAAATCTGAAATCCTTACCTCTACAACTTCTCCCAGACTTTTGACGTAATCCTTTTCTGTTTGAATGAGTTCCTTTAAGACAAATCTAACAAGCAAAAAGCACGTACAACGCAATGAGCTAAAATTGAGAAAAGTATTACACAAAGGGCTAGAGTCATCACTCAGCAAACGGAATGAAATGAAATTGGATCGTTTGAATCGCAAATGCCAGCCACTTACGTCCTTTTCTTGAGGGCAACAGCTTCAGGGTCCTCATGGTCTGGTGCTGGCGTGGATGGCACAATATCGACCCCTTGTTCCTCAGTCTCCTCCTCTTGAATTTCTTCTTGGTCTACGTCTTCTTCCTGTTGTGGATCATCGTGCTCGGCCGGAAGTTGTGTCTCTTCTTCTTGTTCTTCTTGTTCTTCTTCCGCTTCTGCAACGTCGTCTTCCGGTGTTTTATCGTCATCATTGTCAATGTCATCCTCTAAGTCATCTTCTTCTTCCTCGTCATCGGTTAGATGTAATTTTAGTTCTCCTTCGCTTGTGGAAGGTTGAACGGGCAGATATGCTGTTCCTTCAGGATCACCGCCATTGTGCGAATCACTCAGCTCTTCCGGAATGCTCTGCAGAACATTAGATAGTAAGGTGAATTATGAACGCATTATGATTGGTTCTTGCCTATGATCTATAGGAAGACAGGCGCGCAGATGAGGTCACCATTTACAAATGTAAAACTAATAGATTCCATGTTTGCCGTGTGTCTGTTCTAAAATAGATCGCACATGACTTCATAGTGTGGTAAGTACAAGTGGCACAAGAGACGCAATCTTCTGTGATCTATTTTAGAAGAGACGTGACAAACATGGAATCTATTTGTTTAACAGCTAGTATTCATAAATATTTCACAGAACATTCTTTTTCCCCGCCTTTGTTCGCTCTTCTAACACAGGAGACTGTCTTTTGTAGAACAGACGCAAGACAAACATGGAATCTATTTGTTTAACAGATGGTATTCATAAATCTTTCACAGAACATTCTTTTTCCCCGTCTTTGTTCGCTCTGCTAGCACAAGAGACTGTCTTTTACAGAACAGACGCACGACAAACATGGAATCTATTTGTTTTACAGATTATATTCATAACTCTTTCACAAAACATTCTTTTTCCCCGCCTTTGCTCGCTCTGGTGGAATTCTTTTACCATTCAAAACCTAAGAGTGACCAGCATATAATTAACCCTACAACTCCCAAGATCTGATTGTTAATTCTCCCCCCCTAGCTGCTACACATTTCCTTGTAAATTGGTTACGAGAATTTGATGTTCAATCAAGGTAACAATTTCTACCTGATAAGTTTGAGTATTCTCATTACCTGTTTGCTGGATAATGTATGGATATTATAGGGAGAAGTTACAGGTTAATCGCTTCTGGGAGTTAAACAAATCTCTTTATTCGTATTTTCCCTAACTGCAACAGCCACACTTACCTTGGGTGTATGTATAATTTCTGCAGGTCGCCCCAAAAGCAGATCGATGTCACTCTCACTAGCCCCAAGCAGTTGTTGAAGCTTCTTAGATCCGCCCCCTGTGGCTTTCTTTCCTGTCCGTGTTGGGGTTCCTGGGGACTGGTCTGTAGGTGGCTTGTTGCTCATTTTGATTTTACTCCACGAGCGTTTTCTGTTTTGTGAAACATAAAATATTAATCATTCTCGAGATAAAAACTAGTGTGTGACCATTCAGATGAAAGCTAGTGGAGAGTACCCTCGAGAGGTACTGTTTAATATGCTCTGTGAAAGCGGTTGTACATTTGAAGAGCATGGATGAAACCCCAGAGTATGACAATTCAAATGAAAGCTAAATAGCAGCAATGTCATTCTCTAACTTTTTCATCTCTGGGTAAAACCCCAGCGTGGAAACTACAAAACAGTGAATCTGGTGTGGTACTGTTTACAACATTATGTTTACAAGGTGGCTCTAAGTATTAAGTCTAAGCATAAAAGCTTCTGGTGTTCCAATTCATATAAAAGCTTGCGGGTCACTTCTATATCGTTATACGTTCAAGACTTTGAATGAACTGAGCTTCCTGCGTGTTGAATCAAATTATTCATCACTTTAAGTGCTTCCACAATTTTCATTCAGAAACTCGAAAGCACAACCTAAAGATGTTGGTTCGTTTTGCAAATGGTTAGTATCTATTAATTGTAAATAATTGTACTTTAACGAAAATATTCTTGAATTTTACATTTCAGTATTAGACTTAAGATTTTTACTGAAGTTTATTAGGTGTTCCCCATCAGCTTATACAATAGCTAAATCTGTTGACAATTAAATAAAGTAATTGGCATGTTATGTTATATTATTTGGATATATCAACAAAGTTGAAATGGTAAATTGGCCACCGTAATGATTACAAAAGCTGACGTTTCGAGCGTTAGCCCTTCGTCAGAGCGAATAGAGGAATTGTGGGTTGTGTGTGCTTTTAAAGGCAGAAAATGGAGCTACGTTATTGGTGGGCGCATGGCAACGAGAAAAACATGAATAAATTAGTGGAATGAAAAGCGTTCATTGATCCCTGTGGGATTGAGACTGCCGGTTTGAAAGATGAGCTTTTGTTCAAGATTTTTACGGCTTTCCGTGCCACCTAAGTGCGAGGAAAGACCGCAGATTGCCATATGTTGCTTAGAATGATTAGGTAACTTGAAATGTCTAGCGACTGGTTTAGATGTGTCCTTGTCATTCCTTTCCACGTCTCGAAGGTGTTCTCGGAATCGGTCACCTAGTCTTCTGCCTGTTTCGCCGATGTATATCTTTTTGCAATAGATTACATTAGCGGAGGTGCACGTGAAGTGATCGGTGATCTTAATGGATCGTTTAGGTCCCGATATTTTATCAGTGTTGTGAATGAAAGGACACGTTTTGCATCGTGCACGAGCGCATTTAAAAGTGCCTGGTTGCTCATTAGTCTGAAAAGAACTTCTGACCAAAAAATTGCCTAAGTTTTTGTCGCGTTTGAATGAAATGAGCGGAGGCTGCGAAAAGATAGTGCTTGTCTCTGGATCGTTTTGAAGTAATTTGAAGTTTTTAAGAATGATGGATTTAACTGAGTGGTTGTGAGGGTGAAACGTGAGAGTGAATAGAATGCGGTCGGAATCTTCCTTATGCGACGTTTGTAGTGCTGAATGTCGATCAATAAGTTGAGCGCAGTGGTAACCCGCTAATCATTCTAAGCAACATATGGCAATCTGCGGTCTTTCCTTGCACTTAGGTGGCACGGAAAGCCGTAAAAATCTTGAACAAAAGCTCATCTTTCAAACCGGCAGTCTCAATCCCACAGGGATCAATGAACGCTTTTCATTCCACTAATTTATTCATGTTTTTCTCGTTGCCATGCACCCACCAATAACGTAGCTCCATTTTCTGCCTTTAAAAGCACACACAACCCACAATTCCTCTATTCGCTCTGACGAAGGGCTAACGCTCGAAACGTCAGCTTTTGTAATCATTACGGTGGCCAATTTACCATTTCAACTTTGTTGATATATCCAAATTATTTCGTTACTCCCACCGACGCAGCCCCAAACAGTTTCTTTCGAAACTATCAGCCTTTATTCATATGTTATATTATGGTGACGAAACTAAAATTGTGTTGTGAACACGTATTTTGGTGGCCATATTGGACGCCTTAACTTGGTTGCCAATAAGTTGACTTGATATAGGGCTGCAACTTATTCTCACAAACAATACACAGCTCAGTTAAAACCTACGCAAGCTGTTTAATTGCACCCAAATGACGCATTCTTTGGAATTCAAACAAGAAAAATTAATCCAAAGCAAATGTGAGATGTAGGTCACTTACCGAAGAGATAGCTGAGGGCCCGATTTGGACCGTCGACGGACTGGGGGCGAGCCGCCATTATTATTGGCGGGTTGGCCCTGGTACCAAGAGGTGGTAGGACTGTCAGACGAAGACAGCGAGACAGAATCTGCAAAGAAACACATCAAAGAAACACTTAAATGGAAAAGTCCATTAAAACATTACAAAAACACTTCAAAGGAATGCTGAAGTTTCAAGAAACTTCGTGGATTATCGATTGGCAGTGAACCATAAAGAAGAGTGGTTTTGTTTCGTTGAAAGGATTAAAAAACATTTTGTGAGTATTATTCTGTTACGATCGCGAACTATGATTTTTGTTTTTTTTTTTTTTATGGTGTCGTTTCATTAAAACGCCGCATACTAAACGACATTGTCCAAAATAGTTATATTCACCATACTTTTAAGTAACGTCGTTAATTTTTTTTTTTACAACACTTCATGGTCATTAATCATGTATAATCGTTGTAGGCCTCCTGACATGGTGTATATTGAGAGAGTAGATTCTTCGTCATGGAACAGTCACTTATCGCTTTAGAGGCTTCACAAAACTTGTTAATACAATCACGCATTGCATTAAAATGACAAGAAAATGTAGTACTTTGTGAAGTGCTGCGTACGAAATAATCTTTGAAAATCCCGAAAAAAAAAAAAAAAAAAAACCACGACATATCCTCCCAAGAGACTGGATTATATAAGTATTTTATCCTCTGAAAACAAATGCACAGACAATACTCGATAGTGAGCTCATACAGCCTTTATACGAACATTTAATATTAACACAATATATTTCCTTTTTGCTCATGAAAAAAATACTTCCGCTCAGAAAACGGAAAGCCAATTCTCGTTGTTCTGTTTTTATCTTAAAAAACAAAAACAAAAACAAAACAAATGACAACAGAGCAGTAAATTGACAAAGTCTTTATCAGTATGTGCGATCCATCACCACTGAAATCTGTGCCACTGAACTGAGAATCATGAATTCCGACAAATTATTTTGTCATTCTACCCTCGTATCCGTCAGTGAATGAATGACTTTATCTTGTGTAAAGAAATTCGAGAAAGACCCTTTTCAATTCCTGGGGCCAACGGAAACTAGTTAGTTGATTACCTACTTGAGAGAAATAACGATATCTTCAAACTATTTGAAGGCTTTGAGTTCCGCAGAAAATTGTCTCAATCCACATTTTACCGGCGTGATGAAAGCGTCTAATATAACATTGACGAAAAAGGTTGCAACCCAAATATCAATTTTCCTTTGTTTTCCTTCTACTGCATCAAAAATTCCGTTTTGAGAAGGAAAGGAAACTCGATGATTCAATTATTGTCTAACTGCAAGCTAGTTTACAAATTAGACGTCGCAAGTAAATTTGATTATTTTGATATCTGGGGAAACATTGGCTGTCTTAACTGTTACAGCAAGTCCATGTTCGTATTGAGGCATAAAAGCAGCCGCCGAATAAACGCAATTACCTGCCTGAACAAGCAGATATTAGCCGGCGATTGACGAAAATAGAACTTCAAATGCTTAATAAACGCGTACTACAAAGAAAGAAGTCGCTAAGGTTGAATGGGTCTGCTACGAAGTGTTGAAAGACAAAACAGACTTTTTATTTCACTTGCTGCCATAATCTAGACATTAAAAAGAGAATTATCAATCTTGAAAGTCTTCCACAACCGCGAATATTCATCATTTTTATCATCTTTCTATCTGAAATGTTACAATATTGGATAAATCGATACGATAAAATGTTCCAAAAGGAAGAGGACTCAAAATACAAAGGCAAAACATAAACAGAAAAGTAACCAGCGACCTCTGTTGTCTTGTACATGACACATTCCGAAAGCTTTGGTATTTATGAATAGCGCGAAACCTCTCTCTTGTTTCGATTCAAAACAAGGACAAAAACGCCTTTGATGATAGAAGGGGAAGTTATAAAGGCATAAGCAAACTCCACAAACAGAAACTACTTGTTAAAACGATCGTACGTTTGTCCAGTTCAAACATTTTTTGCACTGTATTGTCGAGCCGGGACGGCTAAAAAGCCAAAGTCAACAAATAAAACAAAGCGAAAAACCTATGCAACTCTGATTGCTCGTGCAATATGCTAATCGTGAATCAAAACGATTCGCACTTTCTTAATCCTGACCAAATAAAAATTGGAATTTAAAATTATAACCGCTTGTCAAATTCATATTTCAAAACAGACACACAACTGGGAGAACAATGAATTGGCGAGAGATGCACGCTATGATAGGAAAGTCACACACACACAAATACACGACGAACTAAACTTCGTGTTTCTTCGACCTACCTTCGCTGCTAGAATGGGAGATGTCCGAATGCCGTTTCTTCTTCGCATCTCGGTCGTCTGAACGCTTTAACGCATTGTGTGGAACCCATCCTTCGGAGGGATGAATTCCTTCGCTCAACAGCAAGCGAACTCGCCAGCGGGAGCTCCCATGCGGTTTTACAAGGACTTCGACGAGCTGACCTTTTTTCAGTGAAATCTCTTCATCGTTTCCAGCCTTGTAGTTCTCGGTGACCGACCACACATTATCGTTGTATTCTAACACCTTTGGAGAAAAGGAGAGCAGCTGAATTGGCGATGTGGAATAAATAACCCAGGGCCCTTTTGACTGCAGCATGTTTTTATGCTAATAATGGATGTGCGCGGTGTAATGTTGTGTGTACATGCTACTGACGATGCGAATTATCAAAACACGTTACACTTCACTGCATCGGAATGGGAAAAACGTGATGTTATCACCAGATCCAATTGTGCTGAATTAGGGGGCTAAGCACATCTTAAAGTTTCCATTTAAAAGTTTAATACTCTCTAAGGCCAAAAGAATCACGTTCTAAATGGACCAGATAGAATAAAAAAATAACTACTATTTCATTTTGCAAACTTTCAAAAAACAGACCGCAGACAGCGAAGTACTTCTTGAAGGTTTCCACCTGGATGGCCACATTATATATACGGTGTCATCGAGATTTGACTTTGAAAACCACGATTAAAAAACCTTCAACGTTAGTGTTAAGCCTTTGTTGTCATGTTCACATTCTTTGTCTCTTTTAGCGCTTGCTAAAGCATGCACAATTTTACAGTCCTTGATCCGAAAATCAACCTCAGTCCACTGACGCTCACCCGTGAGAATACTTATGACTGAAAACAAACTGATGGTAAATCTCGGATTGAAAAGCACTAACGTCGGTTTCTGGGGAGCTAAAAGATGACAAATGAAAGAAACGTGATCAGGAATTTACTGAGGCTAGAAGAAGCTAATCTCCATCGGTTCTGCAAGGATTCCCCTTTAAAACTGTATACATTAAACTGACCAGGTTCTCGATTTCCATTTTGAGTGGAAAATCGTAGCCACTCAACGAAAGGTTAATGAACTGAAAATTTTATTTTGGAAATGACACATTGTCTCAAATTTTAAAGTTATCGACTCTTAAAACAAGAAAATAAATGCGTGAATTTTTTTTAGTCAAATAAACATGAAGTCTACCTCGTCTTCAAAAAGGACAGCTTCGACACATTCGAAATATCGAGAGAGAATACTTATTTTCTGTATAAACAATTGCAAGCTCGATTAAACATCATCACGCGCGTCCAAGCTTTCATGAGATGATGGGATCCCAAAAATATACACAACTTTGAATTTCTCTGGTTCATAAATTTCTCGTCTTCAAAACTACGTGAAGAGAATTTCACATGCGAATCAAAAAGTCAAGAAATTGTCAATTGAGAGAAAAAAATCTAACCTTGTTTACCTTTTCAATTCCAGTGATCATAGGTGAGTTTTCTTTACTACAACATCCCATACGTTTGTCAGGGAGAAAAGTATCGGGAATAATTAATGGAAAAACCGTAACAGGTTTGATTAAACATGAAATTCTCAGCAATAACATTACAATGAAAAAAATTGATGGCAGACAATAAAGAAAGTCATTTGCGGGAGTGTAAGGAAGTCGTTGTTCTAGAGACGTCGGTTTATTTCACTAAGCGTAGCGAAATCAAACGAGTGTATCCACATTGCAGGAAATGTCAGCCTTCTCTACGCGCGCTATATATCTCTCGCGCGCGTGTTACACGCATTCTCACCGGGCGATCGCAATGGAAGCTAATTTTAGAAGAGAGATGAGAAATAAAACTGACAACTGTGTTTTTTAAATGACCGCACCATGTGCCATCAACAATGAAGCTCTGGCTCCACCTAATAAAAATACAAAGAAACTTTAAGTTCCATCGATTTCAAGTTAGCAGGAAACTGAATGGCGCTAGTCTAGTTAGAAAAAAGAACACGCCAAAATTCACGAACGAAATACGAGAACATTCGGCCACGTTGTAAAAATGCGAAACAAAGGACCACAAAAGTAAGAGACAACTAATGAATTCGAACTCCAAACAGGAATTTTCTGCGTTGATGGTTTTGCGCCAATTTGGCTCGATCGGATTAGGACTCAAGTCTGAACTACACACGGTGAATATAAAATAACAGTCAGTATTGATTTAAAAGGTTTAGAACTCGAATGAGTCAGCCGAAAAGTTCAAGTGTTGAAGCTCTAGTGACGTCTTGTGGAATAATATGGAGAGAAAAGTCTCACACGAAACCACGACATTACTCATGAACTTAGAGGCATGTCGAGAGGCGATGAGAAAAATAGTACTCAATAAATTCGTACCGTAACCAAGGAGTAAAATAAACTGAAACAACTAAGGAGAGAGAGTTCTTTTCATCGCACATGATTCGCATTGGACAGGAAACCGACAATATAACACTGCGGGGAGCGAAATGAATTTCAATGCGGTTTAGGCGAACTGGATAATATGTATTCATTGTCGATACTGCGTCGTGACAACGCACCGTTGTTTCGAGGCCGAGAAGTATTGAAAACACGGAGTCGTGTCGGTGTTAATACGTTCTCTAACTGTTCACAAACAAAAGACTACGGAAATTATGCAAGAACAATCAAATACTCTACCTTGGGGTCCAGTGTCAAAATCTGCCGCTCAAATAACAGCGGTAACGTTGTAGATCCGCGTTTGGTCCGTCCATTTCGCGCACTATTCATGATCTTAAACAATCGCTGATTCAAAATGGCGACCGGAATAACACTTGCAAATCATAACGCGACAATGCCTGGAATATTTCACTGCGATACAAAATAAATCCCGTATTGCCCTCTGTCGACTGTCGTCATCGGGCAGACAAGGTTGTCATGTACAGCCGATGAATCGCAGAGGACACAAAATGAAGAAATCCGTCTTATTCAAGATTACTTTTAAGCCTTTAGATTATCACGTACAAACAAAGAAGTACTTCTGTCCCGTGAAGCAGATTGCTCTTTCACTTCGACCAATCACGGAGGGAGTGAAAGTCATCGGTGTGACGGGCTACATGTCCGTCACGGTCATAGCCGGAGGGGGTCATGGAATGCTAAACACGAACAGGGCGTAACAAAAGTTACACCGCCTAGCTCCGATAATCGCGGAAGACAGTTAATTAAAGGATTACTTTTTTTGTTCTGCTTTACATCGAGATTTTTCCGTTAAAACCTTGCACAAGACCACTTGGAGATATCAAATCCTCTCTTAAAATAGCAAAGCTTGACGTTTGAGGCTTTTTTCCGCGATCTTGCGGCAATAGCATGTCCAAACCCTATCAGATAAACGTAGTCACCTGTTTTTGGCGTGAGGCATTTTAAAGTGGTAAAGAAAACATCCCCATTTTGTTTATCGCTAGAAACACACACAAAATCCAGTTATAATTTCTAATATTGTCACTGTTCTTTCTGCAATTAACTCCGTATCTGTTTGTTCGAGTCATGAAGGCATTTACCGCTCTGACAAGAAAGCCTCCGAAAGATCTGACCGTCCAAAGAGCAGATATAGACCCCTTGGAGGGTCTTTTTTGAGCTTTTCGTTGATTGGAGTAGGATACCACAGTTTTTCAAAGGATACTTTGTTAACTTCGGAGTGGCCAGGATCTAAATTTTGACACAAGGCAAAACGTAACGGTGTGTCTCTTATTTCTTTTTAGGTTACCATGCTATTTTGATGGCATAAGGACGTTCATTAAAAAGTCATTCAATGGCCGTTTTCACACTAGAGGACGGACAAATCGTCTGGACGGACAAATCGTCTTAGACGACGTCTAATGTGAAAACGGGACGAACAAATTTTTCGACGAACAAATCGACGACAGTACGACTTAAATTCATATCAGACGGTAAAATGTTCGATTTTCTCGCCGCGAGGAAATGGGACTAGCAACAGAGCGAGGTTTTATGGGAAGTTTCAACATGACGGCAGCCATTTTGCTTTACAACACGACCTAGTGCCAGTTCTCTTTGCGCTCATAAGACGGACAACATTTCGGCATATGGCCTTCTCGAATTCAAATTCGACGAACAAATGCCAGTCGATTTGTCTGTCCAGACGACTTGTCCGTCCTCTAGTGTGAAAACGGCCAATGTGTCCTTCTCAAACAAAACAAAACGACACAATTTTGGGATGAGAAGTTTCGCCAATCAACGGTGCATCTCGGGCCAATTTTTTTTGACCAACAATCTGTCTTAATTGTCCAGACGCTCATCTATATTCTCATAACATCTCCACTCAAGCATGGGTCAATAAGAAAGGAGATTTAGGCTTCTTCACCTCCTCAAAAGGCTTTAGAGAACATAATAGTCGATGAGAGGTTTTGATCTTTCACCAGTGCTAGTATTAAAAAGCTCCAAAGGAGGTAACTTGGCAGCGATTCTGCAGTAATCTCATAACGAACTCAAGAACGATATGATAATTATTCAATATCCACTTCGATCAATTGTCAACTTTACAGGGGAACCTGAGAATCCGGAAAAAATCACAATGGCGAAACTAGTAAGTTACCTGCTGGTTTCCATAGTATGTGATAAATCACAGTGAAAAAAAATTTCTTTCTTGATCTTTTCTGCTTTTTTTTTTTTTGTTTCCTTTGTGTTTTTGTTTTTATTTTTATTTTGCCTTGTTCTCGCTCCTCTTTCTATTTTTCTTACCTTTCCTTCTGGCAAGTTGTCGAAGTCTCCCGAGATAGTATCATCTTCTATAACTCCACTTTCCCTAAAACAAGATAAGAAAAACTTTACTTCTTATAACTACCACGTGCTAAGAGAATCACTAGCAATGCACTTGAGTGAAAATTGAGCTCATTATCGAGAAAGCAATCATACCGGTCAGCAGCTTTCTCCTCACGGCTCTTCATCGAGGCAGTAGTTGTCACAGAACTGGTCGAGCTCGTCATGGAGGTGGCTGAAACATTATGACAATATGTTATCTTTCGTCTTGTTTGGCCTCTCACAGCTGTCTCATCAGAAAAATTTGAAAACCTTCAATTCCAATTTTGACAAATTTTCAATTTGATTGGCTACAAACACGTGCAAATCCGTAGGTACCAGGCCCTGGAAGCAGCGTGCGTGGTGTGAAATGATTAACTCAGTCCCAACAGTTGTAAGAATTTCTAAACCGTGTTGGTAGTTGGGTAAATCAAATTTATGGACAAAACTGAAGACCATGAAAACTACCAAAAGGGTTTGATCATTCCGATCCCTTCAGAGACCTTTCTGCTCCAATTCTCATCTGTGAAGCACGCACGTCAGAAATGAAAACCTCGCATCCGTATCAAAGTCAGTAGCTTAGCAACTCCATACCTTCCCCTCCCTTAAACCAAACATCAACCCTAACTTGTCATCATTTGACTGTTGTTCGGGAGGGGTAAAGTGCACAGTTGTTCCGATACTGACATTAAGCCATAAAATCTCATTTCAAAACTGGCCCATCGAAACTGGTACTTTTCAAGACAGCTCAGCAGCCATTTTCAATGCATTACCAAGTTATCTGCAGAACTGTAAAGACTTTCGATCCTTTAAGAGTAATTTGACATCATATCTTTTTAATAACGCTGGAAAGAGATTAGAAACATGAATCTCAGTGCTTTTAGCTTGTTTATATTTTAATTCCTAATTAGAATGTGATTTATTGTAAACTATATGATATAAAGTAATTAAAATAGTATAGTAATTTTAGCATAGAAGAGCCAATTCATTTTTGGAATGCTAATAAACCTTTATTATTATTATTTCAACAATTATTTAAGGAAAATATTTCAAGGACAGAACTATAGCTTTACATAATGTTTTGTATATAGAAAAACATATTTTTCCTTACTTCTCTCTCTGAGGGTACCAAACTGGAAGTTCTGAATAACTTCCCTCAGTTCTTTCACCCACAGTTGCTTGCACTCCAAAGATCTCGCCTGCAATTGAATCTTTGGTTCAAAACATGGGAATGGATTAAAATAAAATCTCATGCAACTTAAATTTGGAAACGTTTTCAATCAGAACGATACCAAATCGGATTAAGACCTATTGGGATGCAGCGAGATGGAGTCGACGTAATGTCATTCAACATCGTTCTCATTGCCCCGGTCGGACCAATACCCATGGTTTTAAAATAACTGAGGAGAATTTACGACCTTGCTATAATACCAAGAAATGGATAGATATTGTAGTCTTCTCGGATAAGGACGAATAAACCGTAGGCCCCNNNNGACTGACAGACTGACTTGGAAGGGGCAAACTAATGGCGAACTTCTTGCCTGACTGAAAGTTCGCCGATGCTACTCTATGACTGATTTACTTATGAAAGATAACTCACATATGGAATAGCACCGTGAAAATCAAGTTCTTTAAACATAAGCACATCACAGTAAACTAGCGAAGGATTGCACCCGAGCATGTAATACGTGCTTGCTTCATCCCGAGCCATTTTCCTTCAGATGCTGTTGTAAAACGAAGACGTAGTAAAATTATTTACCTTCATTTTGTTTTTGTAAAGATACTTGATTTTTCCATCTGCATCTTTAGTCTCCTTACTGAAAAGGAGCGCTTGTTCAAAGAGGAAAATATGGCGTTCTTTTCCCTTCCTTCTTAGCTGCTTTGGATCAAAGACAGTGAAAGAATCCTGCAAGAAATTGAAGTCATCTTAGATCTTCAGAAAAGCTTTGCATTCAGTCCTACATTTCGAAATAAGTGCTAGATACAACGATAAGCCACACGCGTGACATGGTGATAAGCCAAGCGCGTGACACCCCACAAATTCGTGGCAAGAACTTAGATAGGCAAAATCCTTCACCGGTGCAAAGTGTGTGAACTAGCAAAATTTCGCCTGACTGAAAACCCATATAATGAGCATAACATTCTTTAAATACCTGTAACACGACTTTTCCTAATGAATCAATGTTCTCCTGAAAAGAAATAAATGGATAAATTTTCAGAAATGTAAATCTAGTTTCGTTTCTCAGCACTTTGCTGGCTTTTTCAAGTTACGGATCATGAACAGTTATCCCCTCGCTTGTCGTGCTACAAAATGAAACAAAGATTCAAGAAAAGACACAAAATGCGAGTAGCAAACTGAAAACCTTGATTCAAGACGGGATTTTCAAAATTGCATGGATTATATTCACAAGCAATAAATTCTTTATTGTATAAGGACTGCGCTCACGCGCGTCTCACTAACGACAAATTCAACTTACGTCGTATCCATGCAACATATTCACGTACATGGCGTCATTAGCTCGTCTGGGCACGCTTAGCATCACATCCAACCCAGCCTACACAAAAAATACAACTTTTAGTAACGGTATGAAGGTATATCGTGGACAAAATGTTCGACTCGTCGTTTCGTTATGGCTTTACATCGTTTCCGCACCCCGATACTTCTAGTCGAGTCGTTGTTTTCCGAATTACCAGTTCGACTCGCTGTTTCAGAAGTCGACTCATCGCTTCGTGAGTTCGTTTCGTCATCTTGTCAGTTTGATTCGACGGCTGGCCTCTACGACTCGTCCTTTTATGAGTTCGACTCATCGACGACCACATCGGTTCGTCGTCGTTTGTCGTTTTGCCGTGTCGTCGTGGCGTTTCGTCGTTTCGTCAAGTGGTTGATGCTATGGATCTCCATAGAGGCTGGGGATCCTGTGGTGTGCGAGACCCCTTCCCCTCCCACCCCACCCCCCTCTTGTACCGACTGCAATGCTGACCCATTCAAGGCACCGGCACCGTCAGGAGTGACATTTACCCTTTGACCCCTATAAGTGATTGACATCTAATTACTCCTTACAATATCACCCCTGAATCAAACACGAAGATCGCGAGGAAAGAGAAAATGATCACCGACTAAAAATGATCTTGATTGTTGAACAAATTCTCCTTGTGAGCACCTTGGCGGGAAATGTATAGAGAACAGTATGGAGAATATGCATACTGATGTTAGGCGAGAGTGAGGAAAAACATGCAGTGAATGTTGAACCAAGTTGATTTTCTGTAGCAGGCTTTTGCAATCGCCTCCAATGACCGATTGCCTGAAACAGCCTGGCAAATGCAATGATTCAAAATTCGCTTTTATGATTCCGTATAACTGTCAACAAGGCACCCTGTTGTTTCCGTGTCTTTAATGGGAATTGAAATATTTAAAGGATCTAAGTCACGATATCATTGTGCTAGTTTTGAGACGTGCACAAAAATAAAACACCTTCAGCTTTAGAGATGGTGCACATATTGATTCCGTTGGGAAGAGAAAGAATGGAAAAGTAATAATACACCAAGCTGAACAAGGGTGCAACCGATTGACATGGCCGGGTGGAAAACAATTCTATCAAATCTGAACTAAATTTTTAACATGTTAAAAGCGTGACGTGGCTGTTATAATTTTTCAGTGCAATTCGATGAGCGTTACACTTGACTAGGAAAGATTCCTGCCTTTTCTTCTCGAGTTACTCAAAACATATGTTTATTTGGATTTGTCTTGCGGTTGAATGCATGACCTTTCCTCCGATAGAGAAAAAGAATAACATTTCATTCTATTCGAACAAGGAATGAAAGAAGGAATAAATTGATCAATTAATGTTTCAATACACTGGCAATTGAACGAGGTCAGATCAATTAGACCTTCATTTGATTGTTAAAAGTTCAAGTAAGCTGTACTGCGCCAAAACCTTGTCTTAAAATGCTATGTAAACAAACTATGCCTTTACATTTACATACCTGCAGACTACTCTCGGACCCCTCTTCACAGCACGTAAGAAGATCCTGAAATGAGCGACCCAGGAAGTTAGAACTTTCTTTTCACTTAGGAACAGAGAGGCAGCTGGAATCTTTTGTGCGAACGGGACTAGAGCCGTTACTTTTTTACAGGTAGAAACAGCACTGTTTAGTTCAAAGGAGCGACCACACATGTTGCTAAAATTGACAATTAACTTCATTCGATGGATTTACCAAAGAGCAACTTAGAAAACTACATTGTTAGTAATACGGTTGAAGAGCTCCATGCTTTGCAAAGTTCCTGGTAAAAAAAGAAAAGTTGAGAGAGGCGAACGATTCTAACTATTCTCTAAATTTCCATCATAAATAAGAATGAGAACATTAACGAACAGAAAGGGATATCAAATGCTGACTTACCTTCAAAAGTAGCTGGTATTTGGTGATTCTTTGAACAGGTTTAATAAGATATGCAGAGATGGAGAGACCGTGGCCATAGCTGAATTGTAGATCCTATAAACATCAAATAAGAGCTTGATTGCGACTCAACAAAGCTTTCATGATCAGTGCAGCATGGCTGCAGAATCACGTCAGGCCAAAATAAACAGAGTGGATCTTATGTTGTGACCATCACAATGCAGACATTTGCATGTGAAAGGAGATACAGATAAAACTAATACGAGTTATGAATTGTTCTCTCACCGCAAAAAAGCTCCCTCCGTGTTCGATAAGAAGGGAGTTTGAGAAAGGCTTATTCTTGCAATAGGCAACATACATGCCAACAAATGATTCTCCCTGTCGTGAAGAAGAAATGTTAGTCGTTAAAAAAACGTACAAATTCCAAAGTTTCTTTTTGTCTACATTCATAGATGTGCAAATGAAATTCCGCATTAAGCGCTTCAGGAGGCCTAGAGGTGGATGAATCCAACAAGGAGGACTTGAAAAACCAATTTCACCTCTGCACACCAAAACAGACAATCGGCTCATAATTCCAAGCGATTAAAGATATAATCTTAAGTAGGAAAAATGGAATTATGATCCTTACGTACCCATTCTTGGAACGCATCTCCAACGTTCTCGGGATTCGTTTCAAACTTCTCTAAAGTTTGTAGAAAAGTGCTGCAAATTGAAATTTAGGGAAAAATGAATGCTAGGTATTCGATAAAGACTTAAAAATGCTACCTAATCGAATGTTTGCTAAGCTTGGGATTATACGAGCAATCTTCCACGAAGCTCGGATCAAGTTGCTCATTGTACTACTCAGGCCAGGCGTATAAACAAACCAACACCGGGTAAAAGTCGGCTTGAATTCGGTTTTCGTCGGCAAGGATAGCTACGCGACGAAGTAATCTTGTTACGAAAGAAGATGCAAACCTGTTATGAAAATTGTAGATGTCCTCGATGTTGCCAAAAATGATGCTTTCTTTTCCCGCAAGACCTGGTGGAACTTCAGAGTTGTTAGACATGGCACTGATGTAGTTCTACAGAGAAAAAAATAGGGAAGTCTTCTGTCAATATTAAGGAAAAGCAAGTTGTGTCAAAAATTTCTTGTTAGGCGCACTTGAAAACATAATGGCTGGTTCAGTTGCAACTGAAGTGAATCAAGTGTACAACTTTACCCGATCAGGAACTGAATCAGCTCATACGACTTCTAACACCCGTAACAAATCTTTCCCGCGATCGGCACGCCACGCCAGTCACGTCTTTTCCCGCGCTTGGCTAGAGCTACAAGTTTTTTCGGCGCTGACCACGTACGCTTGCTACCGATTGCAGGTTGTCTAACGCTTGCAACTGATTTGATCGGTTTTTTGTTCACACAAAATAAATAAGAAAAGAGAAAAGGATTCAGACTGTTCAGAAAATTGCTAAAAAAAAACCAAACCAGTTATCCTTCCTTTAACTGGTTTATATCTAAAAATAGCGGTAACTACTGACGAAATAACAAGATGACATTAATCTTATAAAACATGTTCGCTAACGCTCATATGATTGGAAAATGTTCCAAAGCCATTAACTGAGGCGGATCCAGGGGTGGTTCGGGCGGCTCGGTGGAACCCCCTAAAATTTCCCTCAAAATACTGGAAATCATGTTTCCGAAGACCTAATTTTCAAAATCTCCCGGGGGAACATGCCCTCGGACAATTCTCCGAATCCCCCTTGACTAAATCCTGGATCCGCTGCAGATTAACACATATCTTATGCCTACAATCGAAAACAAAGAAAAAATAAAGACATATTCTTACCTCTATAACGCAATTCAAATCTGCAACATACGTTCTTTCAGTTTGTAGTAATTCGTTCATTATAAATCTAATGGGAAAGAAAAAAAAAAACACTTCATTGTTATGGCAAAACATCAGTTCTCAATACTGGCTCATACAGTAAAACTTTGTCCGTTTTGAGAATTTCAGTCACAATCAGACAACTGGAATTTGATTACATTTGGTAATTAGCAGATAACTGGAAGAATAAGAAGTTACGCTAATCTTGTTATAACAAGTATTGACACAGCCATTTTCATACTTTGACAGTGTTGATATAAGCTTCATTAACAAATTATCAACAAAAACCGTGGAAGAATATAATTTAACTTTTTCTTTGTTCTTTTTGGAAAGTCAAACGAAAACAGATCTACAAGACAAAATAACACTACTATTTTTGAGTGTTACAAGTTCCGTCGTCGACCTGGAAAATATCTGCTCTGTGCACACTACCAAAAAGGATTAACAGAACCATTCTTTTGTGGTGATTTTTCAAAATCCGGAAACAATGTTACCGACAAAAAAAAATTAAGCCGTTCTTTCGTCACTCACCCGTACAGAATACGTACAATTCATTACATTGTCTACAGGATAAAGCTTACACAGAGAAGCTTTAGAAAAATAACTTCTTGCTTTTTCTATATTTTGGGTTAGCTTGTTAAAACTTTTGACAGTGTCTCAGTCAATAACGAACCTAGCATTAGCTGGTTCCAGATACTTTCTATTGTCTAACTGTAAGCAGCGATGGAGTTTTTTCGGTGACAGTGTAAAAATGCAGTGACAAAAAAAAAGCCCTTATAACAAAGGAAGTGTTAATTCTTCCAACTCACTCTTTACGCTTTGCTGAGCGTCTCTTTTCCTCGGTCATTTCATGGATACCACTATCCTTTGATGTCTCCCTTAAAGCAAACGCCTGCTGTTGTTGTTGGCCTTGCGTGTGTAGCGACTGCAGGCTCGGCCATTCCACATCATCCTGACAATCAATACAAAGTAACGAGGAGAACAGAGTCAGTGATCGATAACTGGATAAGTTTGACTCCTCATCGGAGAAATCATCGAAGTAATCGTCGTTGTAGTCGTCCGCCATTATCCCTTCTTTCCCAAATGACTACCTCTACCAAAACGCTAAGCCACCTTGAGTTAATCACGCGGTCGTAACGTAAACTTGAAGAACGAGAAACACACACGAAACCTCACAACCATTTCATTCGCGATCGACTCATCACTTTCTTCCCCATTTGTGCTGTGAAAATAAACGGTTTTCACGCTTCGAGTTCAGGATCCTTGCAAATTGCGCTCAATTTCGCGATCCAGACACTCCTTGATGAGCAAACACGAGTCGCACAATTAAAACGCGATTTTCACATGCTTATTAGCCGCGCGAGTCCTGTTGAACTGTCTACAAAAAGTGTCAAGTTTCACTTATACGATCAAAACAATTGCAATCTGTCGCTTTCGGAAACGGCCGAGTCAAATTTCGACCATGAGAATTCTGCCTTTCGATTTGACGAGTTTCCGTGACAACTGCGCCACTCATCGATCTTATTCTCGAAAATTGAGAAGCTTTTGGGGCAAATCTTCTTAATTCAAGGAATTTACTTTTGCGAGCGCGTCAAGGCACCGGCAAGATGGCGGCATGTCTTGCCTACAACTTTTCCTTTTCCACCAGCTATCGCTGTTATTATCAGTACAATAGCCAAAGAGTTGCAGTATTAATTAATAATGGAATGCCGGTGGTTTGTGTCGATCTGACGCTTCAGGGACGCGACCAAATACAAAGACAGGAAGAAGGCCACACGCGGTTTTTCTTAAAGATTCTCCACCTGCATCAATCTATTTTATACTCAAAAGACCGTTTCCGTAATTTTTGAACCGTGAAAAACACACCTTTACGAAAAGCAAACACAACCATTGAAACAGTTTTACTAATTTTCAATAATTCCATAAACCACTCGCTTACAACTGCCAAATGATTTTAAAATTTAATATCATCCTTTGTTGAAAACTTTTAAATGCGTTGAAAGCCTCGGGAGAAATAGTATCTTTTACACTTATGGATTACAATTAATCCCTAGTTACCCGCTTAATTTCCCATCCGTAAAAAATATCAACTTACTGGAAACCTTCACTCGACTCTCGAAATATTTTTCATGTTCCTAATTTTGGGTGCGTTCGGAAATTATCTGGGAAAGTCCTGCCGCGCAGATAATTGAAAAGTACCACAAATTTTCTAGCAGGAGGTTGTTTTAGAACATGGTTGAAATTCTCATCCCGCAATTTAAATAAAACTGACACGATATATAAAAAACAGCGATTACATCAAATTGTTGATTTTTGCAATATAAAATAAATGGACTTTTAGTGTAAAAGAGTAGTTTAGTACTAGTAATATTAACCGCAAACAATTGAAAACATGGAATGAAAATACTTCTTTAGGAGAGGGTTTTTTAATGACATCATTCGAGATAAAGCGGGTCTGAGGGTTTTAAAGCATCGTTCGAAGGATTTTCGCAATGAGGAAAATTTTAGCAGGCTGCTTTTTTGAATAATCCGAACTATTCTCGATGTTGCTAGAAAAATAAAGTAAAAAAATCCAAGACGCAAACAAACAAGCGACAGGAATTTTGATTCTTTTTTTAATTCTTTCAACTCGTCGAGAGGAATTTGGTGCGAAAATTCCGCTAGTAAGAAAAGAAGAGAGGGAGTGGGGCAGAGATTTATCACCTCAGAGGAACCTCAATTCGAGAGACTGAGAAATTTCAAAATCTTCCCCCAAACAGAGGTTTCCCTTCGTTAGAAGTAACAAATACAAGTTATACAGTGGAACCTCTAGTTAAAGGAAATAAAAGTGTCCCCTAAATAGCAGTGTCCCTCCTACGAAGATATCACATAAAATTGCCTGCTGTTAGCCAATCAGAATGAAGTAATTTTCTCAGTCGTGACTAGATCAGTAATTGTGAGTCAATCTAACTATCCCAGACAAGAAAAAAGACAGTACCTCATGCTCCGAAGCAGTATATCCTAGCTTGTTCTCGAGTTTCACGCGATATTTTTTCATCCGTCGAGCAAAGTCTTTGTATCTCTTCTCAACGGCTGTGGCCCATTGCCTGATGCCATCACTATGGTAACAGGATTTGGCTATCAGTGTCTCTGCTTGGTGCAACATGGACTTGACTCTCTCTCTGATTTTCTGTGAAAAAAAAATATGGAGTGAAATTGATGATCAACATTCTTAGAAAGTGGATTACAAATAAAAATCAAACAGAGATTAGCCTTAGCCGGGCGCTCGATTAGTCGAGACGGGCGAAAATCGAACCGGCGAGCGATAATCGGCGAACAACAAAAAGGAAAACGATGAAGCTATCCTTGTTCTGCAAAGTTTCTGATAGCTGTCGCTCGTCCTACTTTTGCGCACGTCCCCATGAACTGACTGCTTAGGAAGAGCTGTACAGAGATGTACTCGCCTTTAAGTTTAGAGACTTTAACTCTTTAACGTGCTAACTGATCAGTGAGTAAGTCAACCTCGTTTCCAGGGCCTTTTCCCTAATTTGGGGGTGAGGCGGAGGAACAAGGTTGTGAGTAAGTTCCCCTGGTGATTTTGACACAAAGCCAAACAGAAAGGTCATGAGATTTAAGGTTTTTTTTGTGTGTGTACACCAACCGGCATTTCTTCCTTCTACGATTTTTTTTTTTTACCCAAAATAAGGGGAGACCCGGGCCCCCTGGCCACTCTCCTAGATTACCCAGTGGTTGCTTGACTAAGGTGAATCTACAACCCAACCTTAAATGATTCATTCTCAAAGGAAATTAAAAAACGTAAAAGAAAAGGCAGCCAAAACAAAAGTGAACCAAAAAGGTTTCACACACCAAGTCATATACCTCTGAAGCCTCCCTGAACTCTTGGTGCTCATCTAAAAGCTCTTTTGTCTGAGCGTCTGTGTCACCTTCACCCGTCCGAGTGGACAAATAACACTCGCCATTTTCGTGAATCCAATCCAGTGCCTAAAACAACAAATTGGCATCATTCCTAAGTTTCAATCATCATAGAAAACGAATAACAGAGATACAATTCTACGGATTGAACATTGAGTTTCCAGAGGAAAGACTGTCTATCGAGAGGACATTCCTTTGGCGGGAAACCAATTTAAGACGCCGTTCGTTATCGCCTGTGATTGGCTCTTTCAAGAGCGCGTAGGTGTTACTTTCCCGCCATGTAAACGACTCGCTGAAGCTCTGATTGAACGCCTCACGCGTGCTCTGCATAATTGTCTCGTCAGACGATTCACGATTGGTAGAAGGGAGGTCCTTGACAATACTACAACATACGTGGTTTTCTCTCGCTGTAGTGTACTCTAAAGCAACGGCGAAGACCAAGCTCTCTACAACGAATCGAAATGTGGCGTCCAATTTGAATTGCCATTGTTCTGGACTTCCTAGCCCGTCTTCATGTGGAAACACACAAGGATTATCGCATGTGTGAGAGGCTAGTAAGACCAATACATTGGCAATTCAAATTGGACGCCATAATTCGATTCGGTGCATGGACTGGCAACGTATTTTAGTCGCTTTCCCACCAACGCCTGTACCTTTTCCAGGGAGCAAGTGCTTCTAGAAGCAGTGAATTAACATCTTTTCTTTTTACAAACACACCTCTTTAGCGCACTGTTCCAGCTCAAGAAATTGCAAACAATAATCCGCTAACGTCCGTCTAACGTGCCAAACTTCTAACACTTGCTGTTCCTGCGCTCTAAGTTGTTCTTGTAATTCCTTAACTCGCTCTATAGTGACATCGGGACGGTCATTCCTTGAAGGCGCAATCGTAGACAAAAATAAGTCAGCGTTTCGCTTAACGTCCAGCAGGCCTGTGGCGATGGAATCCTTGTCTTCGTCATAGCTTTGCACGATGGCTTTCATGGCTTCCAGGCGTTTCATCGAATCGGTTTCGATTAGTTTACTACATGGATCTCCCTCTTCTAGTTTGTAATCGCGAATGAGGCGGTCCATTAAAAACGACACCTGTAATAATAAAAATAATAAAAACAAAAATACTCTTAAATTTACCAGGATAAAATGACTGACTGACCAACAGTCAGACAGACTGAACAGCAGAAAGACAGACTGACCAACAGTCAGACAGACTGACCAACAGTCAGACAGACTGACCAACAGTCAGACAGACTGACCAACAGTCAGACAGACTGACCAACAGAAAGACAGACTTACTGAGTGACTGAGCGACCGACTAACTGACATACTGTGTGAGTGACTGAGCAATTGACTAAAAGAATGAGTTGACTAAAAGACAGAGTAACTGAGCGACTGACTGACTAACAGACAGACACAAAAGTGATCGAGCGACTGATTGACAGAAGAAAAGGTTAGAAACTGAGTGAGTGGCTGAGCGACTGATTGACTGACTCACTCACTCACTCACTGACTCACTGACTCACTGACTCACTCACTGGCTGACTCACTCACCGACTCACTAACTGAAAGACTGAATGACGAGCAAGCTGTCTTTTTTCTGTTTGTAGAATAGTAAAACACAGGTCAAAATTAACCGATCTCCCTACGCAAGGCAATTTCCACATATCCGCTTTTGCCACAATGGTATAGAGATCCATCTCTCGTCAAATAACAAATTGACCTGCTGCGACACCTACCTGATCAGCAGACTTGAAAAAGCTGTAAGAGGCAGTGACAACCTTCCTTCGTTCCTCCGACGTATTCATGAGCTGTTCCCATCGTCTGCTCATACTGCCCGCGCAGTTCCGGATGGCCTCAGGATCGAAGTGACCATCTTTTATTAATTTATCGGCGCGCTGCCGAACATCAGTCGCACTTTGACATGTTTTCTGCAAACGTAACAATCAGTTGAAATAAGCACTCGCTCTTCGAGGCGAAGGCGGTTTTCTCAGTATCTACAACCCTTCAACATCCAAGATTCAATTGTTAATTCTCCACTCTAGCTGCTACACATTTCTTTGTGAATTAGTTTCGGGAATTTTTTGTTCGATCAAGATAACAAATTCTACCTGATAAGTTTGAGTATTCTCATTACATGTTTTCTGGATAATGTATGGATATTATAGGGAGAAGTTACATGTTAATCACTTCTGGGTGTTGAACATTAACGTAATGTACGATGTCTCCTGGTCAACTGAGGCAGGACTGTTAAAGTAAAGCTACTAGATATTTACCAGCAAATACAAAAGACGCCATAAATAAAGAGTACAGAAAACTACAGAATGTTAGCCTGAAAAGATAGATAAAACTAAAAGAGGCAAATAAAAAGACAAAACAAAATAGCAAAGGATGAAGATTACTTAGAAACACAAATGACGGGCTTGAAAAAGTTTAAGGGTTAATTTTTCAAGGTACACGAAGCGATTTTTAAAATCTGACAGACTACTAAAAAATTGCCTAGCAATTTATACCTCAATGGCTCTCTGGAATTCCTCGTGCTCTCTTAAAAGAGCCTCTGCTTCAACGAGCGATGTTCCAAGCCCGGCACTAGCGTAGAGTATAGCCTCGCAATTCCGTACCCGGCAGACAACCTACCGAGAAAATACCGAGTCAAATACGAACATTACGTCACAAGGGAAGAGCTAACTGTCGCTCAAACCAAACCGTCAGCGTCATTCGAGATGTAACTGTACTGATTTCTCTACGATTGAGTAACAGAGCGACGCATAAATATCATTATTACATCCATTTTGAAAACACTGGTGGTCCCTGTAATCTGATTGGCTCTATTTGGTGCGATTTATTCTCGAATCGCACCATTTTTTGCTCCAAATCGCATCATTTAACGCTTGACTGAGTTTTTGACACATGACATCAAAGTCTTTCTGTTTTGCATACAAAATAAGATATAAAAGCATTTCCGGTTCCGCCTTTTATTTAAAACCGGCTCAGTACTGCATCGATAAAATATTTGAATTGACCAAGTTCTGTATTTGGGCGATTTCAAAATGGATGTAATAAAGTGGTAATTGAACCTCATGTCGTGCAATTTTGGTCTGAAATCATACTTGTGATTTCAAATCAAACTCGCGCT